TACGCCACCTGTCGGGTGACGTCACTGTAGGGATGTGCAGGGATCGACGAAATTTACGATGAATATTGCTGTATTTTGGTGACGAAATTAGTAAAAATCTACATGAAATTGAGACTGTTACATGACGAGACCATCGCACAAGATTCAACACCGTAAGTATATTTTTAGCACGAAAACACGTCAAACAAAAATCATCGAAATTGATTAAAAACTATCGAAAATGAAAGTTTTTCGTGAAATATCCCGGAAAATCATTTTCCAAAAAAGAAAATTCCATCAGTCCAGGCGTCTTCGAGTAAGTACTTAATCGAGAAACATAATACCTATACTTACCTACATAAAAAGCAAATGAAATTCTAATTATTAAAAATAAAATTGTGAACCAACTATACCATCCTTTTTTAAATAAGATGAAAAAAAATACAAAAAATCTAGACTTAAAAATATCGATACTTAGCCGCCGTCAAAAGCACATCCCTAGCAGATTTGTTCGCGCTTGCCGACTATCATTACTGCGACCTGCGATTTATTATTTGATACAAGATTGCTGGTTGCTGACCGGGTGGTTAGGAATTGACGCCTTGTTGTACAGTCAGCAAGTTATCTATAACTTCAGTCTTTGAACCACCTTGCACCTTAATAAAAATTACTACATCCTAGTTGAAAATTTCAAATTGCAGCTTAAATTAATAGCTGAAAAGAATAAAAACAATTTCAAAAAGTTATTTTTATAACCATTATTGTCTGAATTTGATTGTGGTCAAATACCTGCCATGTTATGCATAAAAAAAATTTAAAATGCGACAGCATAAAAATACAGCCTAATTCACCACCTGTTGATAAAATCCTAGATAGTCCACCAGGAAAGTATAATCTGAGCGACACGATATCAGCACGCTCGGCTAGTCGACAAGTCAGAAAACAGCCATATTTAGATGCCAACTATACACTACTGATAACAAGATTGTGAGAACTGTGTGATTTAAGGAAAACCATATTCTTCTCGTTCAACGAGTAAAAATTAGCTAGGGGATTCGCTGTCACCTGGTAACTTTTGAAACAGGGGTTCGTGGAGCGGATAGTTTGAGAAACCCTGGACTATTTGACCCATTCGTTGCACAATTTCAATCCTCACCCAATGCCCTAAAATTAAGTATGCAAATATTTTGCGAAATGTCACTGTTGTTCTGGGACATTTATTAGCTTCGGATTTTAAGGTGCTGTTGTTTATTGACTGAGAATTATTTTGATACAGACAACTGCACCAAATAGAGTTGGCTCTTGCGAACATTTAGGAGCCTTGGTTTTGCTCTGAAGAGGGCTCGGTGTTTTTTTACGAGATCGAATCAGAAATGAGGAGATCCATAAACGAACTGCAAGGGTACGACCTGCAAGCTTTCAAGAGGAGAGCGTATCTTTATCTTAAAGGCCGGCAACGCACCTGTAACGCCCCTGGGTCTGCGGGTGTCTATGGGCGACGGTAATCACTTACCATCAGGTGATCCATCTGCTCGTTTGCCTCCTATCACATAAAAAGAAACTAAAGTCGCTGAAATAGCCCGACGAATTAGCAAACTCAAGGGAACATAGGCAGTACGCAGAACTGTCGGCCGGGACAGCAAGGTTCTGGAGTGGAGGCCACGTACTGGCAGCGCAGCGTAGGACGTCCACCCACAAGGTGGAAGGCGCAGGATGCAGGCCACTAAGCTACCACCGCTTATTATGGAAATCATTGGGGGAGGCCAATGTTCAGCAGTTTCCTATGGTTGAAATGATAATGATGATGAAATGGTGTTGCACTATTTTGTTATGTGCTTATTCATTCTCGCCTTGAAATCTAAAATGTCGTATTCTTTATGAAACAGTGGTGTTGGTAGCTAATTGTCATATTTATAGGATTCTATCACACAAAGTTGTCTGTTCCTAACTAGTCCTAGCCCGCGGCGAAGAATGGATTATTCATGGTTACACTGAATACTTTATATCTACTTATCCATGTTTAATATAAACAATAGCTGTGGGAATTTTCCGGATTCGTTTAAGGTGAGATTAATAAAATTCGAACTAAATATACAGGATGGAATGGAAAGATCCATTAGTTTACGCAACTTTAAAGATCAGAAGATTGATTTGACTTACTTGAATTAAGGTCCTATGTCCCCAAGATGGGGCAGAAGGCGTCCACAACAGTCCTCCATCGCGTTCGGTCTTGAGCTTCGCGTTTGATCTCGCTCCAAGTCTTGCCGATTTTCTTCGCCTCGTCTGCAGTGCGCCGCCAAGTTGCTTGGGGCGACTACGTTTGCGTTTTCCCCGTGGGTTCCAATCCAGAGCCTGCTTGAATGTGATCGGGGTCCCTTCGGAGAGTGTGGCCGATCCAGTTCCACTTGCGGCGCTTGATCTGCTCTGATCTGAAGATTAGCATCTATATTTATTAGAAAGATCTGAAGATTACCATCTGTTGTACCTCTAGCATGAACAACTTTCGTCTTCGAATCGTTTGCGTATTCGACAAAATTCGATACGTCATCACGTGACAATTTTGATTCTCAAAATAAATCGTGCTACCATTTCTCATACTAAGTTCACTTTAAGACACGTTCATAAGGGCGCTGTTTTAGTTTTCGTACTAAATCTTTTGATGGCGATTCGAATACGCAAACGATTCGAACTTGAAAGTTTTTCGTGCTAGCCGTACTATTGATTTAATTTGATTACGCTTTTTACGGTTCTTCTTCTCAGCACTTGCAAAATGTCAATAAGCGCTGGAGGGCAAAAAGATGAGACATGTAAAGGCTCCTTATGAGCAGAACTTAAGTTTTTTTTATCTTTTCTAACTTCTTTGGGAAGCATAGGTGGGAAGATCCAACCCCACAGTTGGGAATGCGAAGATTATCGAGTGTATTGAGGCTAATAGTGCAGCGATATCTCACGCGTCTGCAAACGATTGCTGCGCGCGCAACCGACGAGCGAAGAGCGATTTCAGAAGCGGTAGCGATTTGTGAAATCAATTATTATTTTTATAAACAATTTTTCTGTTCTGGAAGTGTTCTGGACCACATCTTATAGGTCAAAAGGTAGCAGGAAGGCACTGGAAGCAGGCCGCTACCGACCGGTCAACATGGAGATTATTAGTCCTCCTACCTATGCTATGGCCGAAATGATGATGACTAGAAACCTAATTGTTCTTAAAAATTCAGGAATTTAAAATTTTTTCACCTCAACATTAAGTAGGTACTTATTCGAGATTGATCCCTGATTTAATGGAAACATCATCATCATTTCAGCCACAGGACGTTCACAGCTTTTTATACAAAGAAGACTGACCGCCTAGCCTAGAGTTGATACGGTTACGATACCTTCCCGGGTTGAAAGTGTGCGACTTCCTTTATGTGTAAATGCAGTTTAAATAATAATTTAAAATTATTAACTCACCGCTGCCTCCTGTGACTTGCGGCACCGATGGCCTCGAATATATTAGACGCCGCGCGTGCTGCCAAATCGCCCAAAAAATGCACCGCGAATCTCAGGGCTGTGCACTGGCTATCTAATACATATTATAATGCAACTGTATGTCTGTTTTACATGATTACACGTTGGTATAGTGAAAGATGGGACTTTCTTCCTACTATTCAACCTACACAAAAACCAGATTTTAACTTTAATGATTTTAACTCCACTTCACCTAAATATAACACTAGCGCCATTATAAAATTATTACTTTATTCTGACGCTAGCGATTTTGTCAAGGACAGGAATAAAAAAAAATAAAAACAAAAAATAAAGATGTCAGACTTTCCAACAAACGCAATACGGCTTTTTATTAAATTATTGAAGAGAATCAGATTTTAATTTATATCTGTCAACGTAAATTTGTGAACTCTGTCAGTTTATAATATAACGCGTTAGATTGTAAACTAATAGTGGGTTAGGTTAGGTTAGATTGTAATTTAACTACGTCAGATTATAATCTGACGGAATTCACAATTTTACGGTGACATATCTAAACTGTGCCAGTTTTGTAACCAAAATTAAATAAATCGTTCTCAGTAATTTTTTTATGGCATCTCAAAACTATTTATCAAAGAAGCTTAAAAAAATCGAATGGTCTAAGGTGGGGAACCTACAAGTAAGTCCATCTGCAAGCAAAAAATCGAGGGTTCAATTTCCACCAGGCATTTATTTAAAGGCAGATGGTTTTTAAAAATAAAATATAAAAAGTTATTAAAAATTGACCTCGTTGGCAGCCCTATATTCGATGCAGCGTGACGTCATCAATTGTGCAGCTGCTCGCGACACTGCGTGCAGTGTTTAGGAGATCCGTTCCTGAACCGATCTTGATAATGGTTTTCAAATCTCAATAATGGTCTTGCCATATTACCTAGATTCTACTAATATTTTGTGGGTAAGTTTGTTGTTCTTTTACACAAAATCTAGTGAACGGATTTTGATGAAACTTTTCAGTATAATTGTTTAAAGATCAGAATAACATATACCAACCTAATTATTGCTCTTCATTTGACGATATTGATTTGACGACACCCACAAGGTGGACCGACGACATCATAAAGGTAGCAGGAAAGCGCTGGACGCAGGCCGCTACCAACCGGGCAACACGGAAAACATTGGGGGAGGCCTATGTTCAGAGCAGTGGACGTCCAATGGCTGAGGCTGATGATGATGATGATTTGACGATATTGAGTTAATTACAACGTGAGTCCCTGTTAACCTCTCGTGCTAAGCTAAATAAATATGCTTGTGTTATGAGTGCGTTCACCACAATAATCCAGCGGCGGGGATCGAACCCGCGTTCCTCGGATCTCGAATCGGCTAGTTCACCGTTGGGCTATTGTAGCTTAAATTGACCGGTATGTCAACTATCCTAATATTTTTCATTATTTTACTTTACCATGTAAGATAGCGTTTCCACATATGGCTCTACCTTTTAAAAACAGAATACCAATTCAATAAAACACTTCTGTTTTGTATATTTCTGTTTAATATAATTTTACTTATTAACTAAATAATGAGCATAATCTCAAGAAGACATTCTGTACTACCTACAACTTTTGTTGATCACCAACTGAATTAAAAACTTTTTCTTCACACTTTAACATCCACTCGTATACAAATTGTACTAATTTGATAACAGTCCATAAAATCACAACACAAAATCAGCTCCTCTTCTGTTTTTTCCCGCCAGAAACTTTGCGTTTAATGACATTGACAGCTGTCATTATCAATTTGACAATTAAGTACAAGATGGCGCCGACGATCGCGAGTTGGTCCAGCATGTATCGCTCGTACCACGCGTACAGTTTTGAAGGCGAACGAAGGTGGTAGGCACCTGGAAGAAAGAGGATTAATAATTTTATTTTTAGTGGCAGGAGAACCACATAGCTCGCAGAATCGCTAAAATTAGTGGGCGGGCACATAGCTCGTAGAGCGGATGCCCGCTGGGGTAGAAAAGTTCTAGAGTGGCGACCACGAGCCGGAAGACTTAGTGTGGGCAAGCCTCCCACTAGGTGGACCGACGATCTGTTGAAGGTCGCGGGAGGTGCCTGGATGCGGGCGGCGCAGGACCGGTCTTTGTGGAAAACCTTGGGGGAGGCCTTTGTCTAGCAGTGGACGTCTTTTGGCAAAAACGAACGAAAGAACGATTTTTAGTGAAGGATTTGCCTGTATCCAGCGCCTTCCTGCTACCTTTATGAGGTTGTCGGTCCACCTTGTGGGTGGACGTCCCACGCTGCGTTTTCCAGTATGTGGCCTCCACTCCAGTGGGGTGAGTGCGAGTTTACATTAAACGTCGTCACTAGGGAATGCGTCAAAAAAATCTATGAAGATTTTAGTTCTTGAAAGTATCCGCCAGGGTCGCTGTACAATCCGTCATACATTTAATGTAATTTTTTTACGCGCTCACTAGTGATAGATTCTTTTGATTCTTGGATATTTGACACCACTCCCCAATGATTCTAAAGCACAACTTTTTTTAAAAGACACTTCATTCTGGTCTTAAAAATACCCTATTTATTAAAATCTTTAGAACATACCTTTACTTTCAATCGCCACTTCGACGTAATGCGATATCAGCTTAGAGGGCGCCACTGGTCGCTTGCGGAACAACCTCGACACGGACTGCGCCGTCTTCAGGTAGCTGCAAATAAAGAATATTTTAATTATTATTTAAATAAAACTGTGGAGCTTCTGGTTGAAAAGGGCTATTTCCACACTAAACAAACAACCAGCACTTTTTGAATAACCTTTTGCAATTGCAATTCCTGGCCCTTTAAAGTGTCAAATTTGAAGGGAGGATATATCTATATAATCCATTAGGAGGAGCTGCATGGGCGAATGAGCTGACATTTGTGCTGTTACTATAGAGATTGTCATTAATGATCTTTATATCCCCATGTAATAAGAGTCAAGGACTCCGCTCATTTAACATCATCATCAAGTCATTTAAAATCAACTGCGGGACGACTCTCTAATTTACCAGAGGTTTGCCTATGGTAAATTAGAGAGTTATTAACGGCATGAGGGATAAGCCGAGACGCCATGGTGGCCTGTCAACCATGAGCTCTATTCTTGAAGACATAAAGGCTCATCTGCCATATTATGTGAGATCCACCTTTCTAGCGACACTAGCTCTCACAGATCTAGCTGCAGTAGTAAACCTTACCTATGCCGACGGCATAAAGACATACTTAATCAAGTCTAAAAACAAGTGACAATACAAGTCAAAGATGCACCTTAAGGCTCCAGCATTTGGGATTTTTTTACCTTTGTTTGTCAGTTCTTTCTTTTTCCTCAGCGATGGAGCTCCACGGTTACGTGGGCTGTTAATACATAATAAGCTCTATTACAGAAGGAATAAATGCCACTCACCTATCATTACTCAGCATCTCATTGAGTTCTTTCCTCAACTCATCTGCCATATGATGCGAGAAGTCCACCTTCCTAGCGACTCCAGCTCGGACAGATCTGGCCGCGTTGCTGGGCTGGTCTCCGAACATCGGCACAGCTAGTATGGGGACCCCGGCGTTGCCTTAGCTATCCTTAGGGATGTTCTTCTTGTCGTGTTGACAACAAACCTACACAGCGTCAGCCCAAAACTCCGCCACAAGAATGGCGTTGTCAGTAGCCTTCATTAAATCTTCCTGTGTGCAGTTGTTTGGGCACGCAGGGCACAACATCATGTGCTTCGTCGACTGGGGAACAAAACCACACCTGCACTCCAAGTTTGAGCCATCCAAGAATCCCCACTTGAACAGATTGTCCTTACTACGGCCGACCTGCGTTCGAAGTCTATTTAAAAACTTCCAGGTAAGCCAGGGGAGCTCATGTCATGGTGGAGGACTCTCCTTAGGGATAAGATCTAATATTGAGCCACTCACCTATCATTGCTCAGCATCTCATTGAGTTCTTTCTTCAATTCCTCTGCCATATGATGCGAGAAGTCCACCTTCCTAGCGACTCCAGCTCGGACGGATCTAGCCGCGTTGCTCGGCTGATCTCCAAACATCGGCACAGCTAGTATGGGGACCCCGGCGTTGGCTGCCTCTAGCGTGCTGAGGAGGCCGCCGTGGGTGATGAACAGTTTTACGTTGGGGTGGGCTGTGGAAGAAGTAAGGTACAGTTAGTATATTTGTATTGTATTTTGTCATGCAGTGAAGAGAGCTGGAATCTTAAAATAAAGTAGGCTATACCATAGTTATTATTATTCTGTGGCTATACCAAGTGCTTCGTCTATTTCTATGCGATAGATTGAGTGTCCTGACTCAGACGTTCAGTTTTTGCCCAGGAATTCCATTCACGTATTTTGACTGATTTAAAAAAATGACATTAAATGTATGACGGATTGTACAGCGCCCCAAGCGGAAACTTTCAAGAACTAAAATGTTCATTATTTTTTTACCGCGCTCACTAGTGAGGACTTTTGATGTAAACTCATACTAATAACTCAAGTCCTATGGGCTCCCGTTCACATGACAGTCCAGTTTTGCCGGATCCCGGATTACTGGATGCTGTGGGATCTGGCACTGGATTGCCGTGGGAACGAGCCCTTATGGTGTCAACTACCCTACTGTAGACTCACCAAGAATACTAGCTTGTGGGAACCAAGCTCTAACGTGGACATTCTTCGGCGCACCAGCCAGTTCCTTCTCGAACTTCCAGAGCACAGTGTACGGAAGTTCCCCGAACAACTTAAGGAGATCAGCGATGAGGTGCTCGGGGAAGGCCGAAGACTTCAGTACGGAGCCCATGCTGAAGTAGATCACGCCTTTGGAGGAGGAGTCCAGGATTGTTTGGAGGTCCTGGAATAATTTTGTAAGTTTTTAAACTTTCGCGTTCCTTTTCAATTAGAGATCAACACGGGTCTCAAAAGAGTCTGCTCTTGATCACGGCTGTAGGAACAAAGCTATAACGTTCGATGACTACTAATAAAAAATCTTTGTCGGCGAAGATTCTAAAATATTGAACTTCATTCCAACTTTTAAAATTTAAGTTTTGATGGTTACCCAAAATACATTATTATGTTTGGACAAAGGCCTCCTCCAAGATTTTCCACAATGAACGGTCCTGCGCTGCCCGCATCCAGGCTCTTCCCGCGACCTTCACCGGATCGTCGGTCCACCTAATAGGAGGCCTGCCCACGCTACGTCTTCCAGTCCGTGGTCGCCACTCGAGAACTTTTCTGCCCCAACGGCCATCGTCTATGTGCTATGTGCCCGCCCGCGTCATATTATTATTTATTTATTTTATTTCTTTAAATAAACATATTCTTTTTACGAATAAATCATTGAAAGAAAGAAAGAAAGAAAAGTATTTATTTGATGCAAGTCATTTTTGTTCCTGTTGTACCAATCGATCAACATGGAAATCGTTGGGCCTGTTCAGCAGTGGACGTCCTATGGCTGAAATGATGATGATGATGATGATGATGATGATGAAGCCTTACCTTAGGCAAAGGTCCAGGGTTAGCATCTATATGGTATCCAGCAATCGAAATGACATTGGCAGGAACACTCCTAGGCCTGTCAACAGCCGGGTCTGTATTGACGAAGAGGATGGACACGTTGTGCAGGGCATCCTGATACGCTGGGAGGGAGAGCCCTCGGGCCTTCGCTAGAGGACCGAACGCGGACTGGTAGTAGGCATCGTTGTCGGGCTGGTCTCGCCTGGAAAGGTAGAATGATCTCTAATTTAATTGAGTAAAGTCTCAATTTGATCTGTCGTGTGGTTCTGTCAGAGTAGGTATGAGTTCTAGCAGAGTACCTATAGATCATTTCATCCACGAAGACGCGCCCCACCATTCTTCCGCTAATGTTTGAGTGTTATCGGTACACGCTAAATTATATTAGTGCACATGCACACTACAATAATGACGCTCGGATTGCTCGGATCAAACTGCCCGCACCCCGAGCGACCGAGACCAAAAATTGGTGGGGCGCGTCTTCGTGGATGAAACGCTATAACCTACGAGTAGATAGGACCACCCACACTGTTCCTATGGATGTCGTAAGAGGCGATTAAAGGTCAATTAAGCGAACATTAGGTCTCATTCCATCTTGCTGTAGCGTGCAGTGTAGGTCAAATCTTCCAATTGCCTAACGGCAGATGACTAAAGGTTCGACCAAACCGACGCATGCAGCCCGTGTGTGCAATGGCGATCAGTAGAAATCAGTAGTATCGCCATCGCGCACATGGGTTGCACGCGTAGGTACTTTTGTTTGATCTTAACGAACTCCTCACAAATTCTTCTGACTAAATTAGTTGCGGGTCCATAGATTGTTTAACTTTCCCCCGGGACAAACTTGGCCCTCACTGGTTGGGTTTTGGCAGTCAAGCTGTAGATCCTGGATACACAGAAGTTGCAGCGTTGGGAACGAGAGGTGGGAATAGTCCCGTTTAACAGAAGAATCATTCTACTTACCAGTTGCTGATGGTCATCATCCCAAATATGAAGCTGTTAATCATCCTTTGCCACAGCGTCATCGGCACTGGGAAATCGTTGAACAACAGCGGATGGGTCTGGATGGAGCGGACTTCGTCCACCAACATCTCGAGATGAGGATGCATCGTCATCCCACTGAGGAGGATCCAGGGAGCTTGCTGGACTGCTGCGTAGCTGAAAAAAAAATCATAAAACTCAAAAAACTATTTTTTTTTATAGTAACTAGGCTTTTAAAAAGCCCTTCGTTCGTTTCAGCCAAATGACGTCCACTGCCGGACAAAGGCCTCCTCCAAGGCCTTCCACAATGCACGGTTCTGCGCTGCCCGCATCCAGGCTCTTCCCGCGACCTTTACCAGATCAAGACCAAAAGCACTTACATGTGGTATTAACCCTACCACTGCTTCGGGAAAAAATGGGCCAGAGCTGCGAAGAAGCAGCGTAAGAAATTCACGCCCGTATTACAAATGATGCTTGCTTAAGTGAAGCAGCAAATCGAACGCACAGCATTGAATTGAATAGAGCTCTGTGAATGGTTCGCGTGTCACCCTGTGCGTCCACGTGCACTGTAGGTAAGACCTCATAGTTTTTTTTATTATGCAAGACAAGGCAGGTATTTGACCGCAATCGCACCTGGTATTAAGTAAGATGCAGTCTAGGATGGTACATAATAATATCTGCTCTGTAAGTGGCTCAATCACTCTCGCCTTGAAAAGGCCCGGATTATAGTGTTCAGAAGACGGCAGCAGGCAGCAAATTCCATACGAATTAATGAATACGGACTATACGTAGTCTTCTCCACTCACCCACAGTCGTAGTCAGAGAAGAACCACTCCGTCACGACGGCATCAAACTGCTGCTTGGTGAGAGCATCCCGCAACTCCTGGCTGCTCAGAGCAGAGATGGAGATGTTCCGAGCGAAGGACTTCAGGAAGTCGGGGCCTGCGTTCCTGAAGCGCGGCTGGGTCATGTCGATGTCTGGAATAAAAAGCTGTTTGAAGGCGGCGGTTCGCACCGCGAAAGAGACAATTGACGTTAGACAATGTGTGACAGTCCGCGAGCGAGACAGTAGTAAAGCCTTTATCACACGTACCGAGCAAACGGGCGAGACAGTCCTCTCGGCCGAGTACCTACTCGGTGTGTATGAACATTACGCCGAGTGCTCGGCCGAGAGCTCGAGTATGTGACTCGCTCACCCAACTGTCTCGACCGAGTAAACATTTTACTGTCTCGCCAGTTTACTCGGTACGTGTGATCAAGGAGCGTCTTCTGTCTCAGTTTCTTGTCTCGGTCGCTTGTCTCAGTCGCAACGCAAACCGCCACGATCCATGGGTTCGATTCTCCCCTTACGCTAATATTATTGTGCTGATAGTGAACGACAAAAGAGTAAAAAGTGAGGTTAATTGTTGGGAGGGTTAGGTTGAAAAGAATGTATGTTTAAGTATGTATTCTTAAACATACTTAGATATCAGGGCCACCACAGACCCTATGCAACTTTGAGCGTCAACGATCGGAGATTTTGCGACTGTAGATATCGATGCAGCAACGCGATTTCAGTACGCGTTTGGAAAATGTATCAGAATTGCGCGTTATAGCCTCAGCGACGAGGATTCCGTCAACTGGGACCGCAATTAACTGGGACCGCGGTCCCAGTCGCCGGATGCGTAAAAATTAAATAATTTTCTTCCGGCGACTGGGACCACTCATGGATTTTAGTACTGTACCGATTTTGGATTGAATAATATTTTCTTTATGTTATCTATGAGTGGTCCCAGTCGCCGGAAGAAAATNCGGTCCCAGTCGCCGGATGCGTAAAAATTAAATAATTTTCTTCCGGCGACTGGGACCACTCATGGATTTTAGTACTGTACCGATTTTGGATTGAATAATATTTTCTTTATGTTATCTATGAGTGGTCCCAGTCGCCGGAAGAAAATTATTATTTTTTATGGATCCGGCGACTGGGACCGCGGTCCTACTTAATTGTGGTCCCAGTCGCCGGAAGCCTCATAGCGACTGCTGTCTGCATTCAGCTTCTAAAATCGCCGATTGTCGATGCTGAAAGTAACATGTGTGCTGTGGCCTTTTTACTTTTACTTAAATATAAAATTTCTAATAATTTACCTGCAGATAGGGCCACCGTGCTGCTCAAATCTATCATCCTGAGATTCTTATTCGACGTCTTCGACGGGAATGGGGTGCCCCATGTTACCTGTAACACGGTAACTTTGTGATTAGAGCGCCATACTTATGTAAGATGATGATAACCAACTAAAGCGGAGCCGAAAATGTTTTCTCTACAGCAAATCGTACTCGAAATGTCTGGATCTGAGACAGGAGGTCCTCTAGAAGACCTAGATCTAGACCACAAATGTGGTTTAAGCAAATATCTAGCGCTGGTAACAATCATAAAGGAAGGTAGATAAGTAGGTACCTCGCTAAGTGTTTAACTGCTGATTTAAAGAATTTAGCTTACTTGGAGGGTCTAACAGGGATATTATTATTTTGTTTAATAACAAATCACTATTCATTTCAGCTTTGGCTGAAAGCTGGACAATGGCCTCCTAGGATGTCTACGAGAGATCCTGCGCTACCCTCATCCAGATTATTTCCTCGACCTTCACCAGATCGTCGGCGTGGAAGGACTTTTCCGCGTTTTCCGGTCTATTGTCGCCACTCAAGAAGACCTTACAGACGATCTTATAAAGGTAGCAGGAAGTCACTGGTTGCAGGCCGCTACCGCTACAAGCCCATCAATCTGGAAATCATTGGGGGAGCCTATGTTCAGCAGTGAATGTCCTTTGGCTGAAATGATGATGATGACCCTAAGGGGACAGGGTAGGTTATGTGCTCAGTCCTCACCAAGTCAGAAGGACGAAGCATTCCCACTAAAGACCCCGGTACTCCGTCACTCGCGAAAAGTGGGAGATATGGTGATGGCGACGGGTTATGTGGGGCTCTCCCCGCCACAAGGGCGGGGCCTACCTACTAAAATAACCATCTCTGAGCATAGAGGAAGTTCTGGTGTAGCAAGGCCTTTTGTCTACAGTTTCAGACCCATCTTTTGACCACGAGGACATCTTTTATGTGGCGCTGTTGCGCTCTAAAGCTCCACCATCTTGTAGCCTATCCTAATCTTATCTAAAAAAAGAGAAAGGAAGAACTTTAAGGGTTGTTTATTACCTGGTGACCAGCATCCAGTAAGGCGTCCACGATGCCCTTCCCGAGGTGGTTGTGGCTCTTCGAAGGCGTGGGGAAGATGCACAGCACATTGTAGGACCACGCCTGGCTGGCGAATAGCAGCAGCAGCAGTGCTGAGAGCATTGGTGTTCTGTGGAAGAAGAATTTCGTTTGATATTTGACAGCGTTTGCTAGGTGACATCATTCACCAGGGAAGTCGAACCTTAACTTTGAACTCTTCCTTTATTCTTCTGATTAATTTCGTTTCGGGTCCAATGACAGTTTAAGCCTAGACGCAGACCACCGACTTTTAGTAGACCGATAGTTGGTCCCGGTTCTAATTTGTATGAAGAATCATCCGATACCAAATCAGTGTAATGTGCGCACTTTCATACATCTTCATATTGATTAACAGCCCGATCCAACTGTCTGCCAACTAAAAATCGGTGGTCTGCGCCTAGGCCAGTGGTTCTTAACCGGTGGTCCCTGGAGGCATTCCAAGTGGTCCACGAAGACATCGTAATAAACAAGTGACGTGACGTGATGAGTCGAGTCAACACAGTGCAAACGGCGCACAGTGGGCGAGAAATCGACCTCCCCTTTCATAGGAATTTGAAAAAAAAAGTGGTCCCTGACAAGACAGAAATTTGGTAAAATGGTCTATCGTGACTTAAAGGTTAAGAACCACTGGCCTAGGCTAAAGCTCATAGCAGACTCATCAACTCGGAAAGGGATCAACACCGTATTGCCTTTCTGGAGATTTCATCGCCTTTCGCACGCTGTCAATCGGGAGGCGAGGCGTTTACGTTACGGTTACGGTGCGGATAAGTGTGCGTTGCAGTATGGAGTTTCATACAATAATACTGACTGACCGTCTCGAGTTGATACAGTTACAACCCCTTTCAGGGTTGATAAATCTCCGACATCCTTAACTTTCCCCGTGACAAACTTAACCTTCACTGATTAGGTTATTGGCGGTCAAGCAGTTGATCCTGGCTACACAGGAGTTGCAGCGGTGGGAACGAGAGGTGGGAATACCCGTATCCAAAAGGGTACCAAGCAACGGGATCCTATTAATAAATTATGCCTCTGCCTATCTATCATATTCAGGCTGTATTTGTACCTCATGATTTCATGAACAGTGATAGGGAAACAGTTGCAATTGTCATTGAATATGAATTTCCACTGCCACGTAATACAAACACTGATTTTAAAAGACTAGATAATTTATAATGTTGTGTAGATATTGTAGATTAGATACTTTGGACAAGAAACTTAAGATAGTTTAAATCCTTGAACTACTTACGTACATAATATTATTGTATTACGCGGTTGGCAGCGTGTTGTGTTGTGAGGGCCTATTTAACTCAAGTACTTACGCCCGTATTCACAAACGATGCTTGCTTAAGTGAAGTAGCAAATCGAACAAACAGTGTCGAATAAATTTGATTGGTTCGTGTGTCACCCTGTGCGTCCACGCGCACTGTGAGACCTCATAGTGATGTTTGTGAATACGGGTGTTAATGTGCTTTTGTATGGAGTTTGAAAGATTTTTAACGTTTGTCAAAGTTAAGTAAGTTGGTGCAACCCAGCCTTATGCCCGTTTTCACCATCAATCCCTAATTTTTAAGTGACCCCTTTGAAAACAAAATTCCTGTTGTATGTTATACCATAGGGGTCACTTAAAAATTAGGGATTGATGGTGAAAACTGCATCCAGAGCCTAATCTTGCTACCGTGTAGCAGTTAAAAAGATATACGCACTAAGTATGTTCCCTTTTATATTAAAGGCTGCAAAAGCAATTTAGGTGACTACGCCATCGCGCCATACGCTAGTGGCGCGCCACAATGAACCGACTCCAAAGACAGTTTAAACAGTATCTCAATGAACCTCGATCTGGATCTTCATGTCTTTCGGGACAAGTTACCTTCATTTAAAAATCCTAAATAGCTTCGCATCAAGTCGCTGGCGTAATGCAATTCCAGCTTAATAATACTCGCTGAAGAAACCCTTTTCTTTTAGTGTAGACACTGTTTAAATGTATAAGTCCACTAATGCATGCCGTGGCAACCTATAATTAAGGCAGCACTTAGATTAAGTTTAAATACGTTGTAGTTAAATATTGATTGTCTTCTAGTGTATGTCTTGTTGGTTATCCTATTAAATAAATAAAAATTAATAAAAGTAATTAATAGCAGACAGTAGATGACTGTCGAATTATTATCTAGTTTAGATAACGTACGACCCCACAGATAATATAATACTAGGTACGTTTCTTATGTAAATATCTCTCAGACGAAAAGTAAATGATAAACTTAACATAAAATAAAAAATACGACCTATTGTTTGTTCAACACAACACTGCAAAACAAATAATTTGCGCAATTTATTTAATAGGATTTTCCCGCAGTTTCATCATCATCATCATCATTTCAGCCACAGGACGTCCACTGCTGAACATAGGCCTCCAATGATTTCAACATCGCCCGTTTGGTAACGGGACTATTCCCACCACTCGTTACCACCGCTGCAACTCCTGTGTAGCCAGGATCTACAGCCTGACCTCCATAAAAACCCAACCAATGAACCTTCATTGGTTGTTTGATCGCCCGTTTGGTAGCGGCCTGCATCCAGCGCCTTCCTGATACCTTTTTAACCTTTAGGCGGCTTCGCCCTCATGAATTAGGGTTTATTACAAAAAAAAGATATAGCTTATAATCATCGTCATCAGGTCATTTAGTCTACACTGCAGGAGAACGACCCTCTAATTTGCCAGAGGCAAATGGAGGATTTAGTTTACTCCCCACGCTGGCCAGACGGGTTGGGGAGGCCTGTGTCCTGTTATTTTTCTTCGGTTGACGGAAAAGTGACGTTTTATTCTTTTATTTTAAACTAGCTTTCCGCCCGCGGCTTCGCCCGCGTGGATTTTTGTCTGTCACAGAAAAACTTAATCGCGCGCGTCCCTGTTTCAAAAACCGGGATAAAAACTATCCTATGTTCTTTCCCGGGACTCAAACTATCTCTATGCCAAATTTCATCAAAATCGGTTGCGAGGTTTAAGCGGGAAAGCGTAACAGACAGACAGACAGACAGACAGACAGACAGACAGACAGACAGAGTTACTTTCGCATTTATAATATTAGTTGGGATTACTTTTTTCTGTCCTTGACATGCTAATGATTATCTGCATAATATTTCGTATAAGAAGAGAGCAAATGAAACCATATTTTTCTTCGGTTGACGGAAAAGTGACGTTTTATTCTTTTATTTTAAATTACTTTTTTCTGTCCTTGACACCTGTATTCAAACTATGTAAACAAATAAATAAATAAATCTTTATTTGCCAGCATGGTATACAAAGGGGCCGTCCATATATTACGTCATTCTAAATTAGGGGGGGGGGGGGGGGGGGGGGGGTCTAAAATCTGAAAAAATCGATGACGTAATTTATGGACGGCCCCAAATATGGAATATTCATAATGTTTCAGACATGTTTAGCCAGAGAATTAAGCATGCAAATTATGGTAAAAAACTCAAAACAATGCTCAAAGTTTAGCCGGGCCTTACAGTTAATAATTCTTTAATGTCAATAAGATAGCTACAGTGCACAGCTTGATGTACTGACGCCTGTACAATGGGTTAACGGGATTCCCACCTCTCGTTCCCACCGCTGCGACTCCTGTGTAGCCAGGATCTACAGCTTGACCGCCAATAAAACCCAACCAGTGAAGGCCACGTTTGTCCCGGGGGAAAGTTAAACTGTCATTGGACCCGCAACGAAATTAATGCAATGGATTATTGCCCATTTTCACCATCAATCCCTAATTTTTAAGTGACTCCTATGGTGAATCTCAGGAATTTTGTTTTCATATGGGTCACTTAAAAATTTGGGATTGATGGTGAAAATGGGCATTAGTTACTTATTTACTTTTTGTTTATCCATTGTTTTTACATATTTTGTAATCTACAGTAATGATCTAAACGCGGAAGTTAAACTGTTAAGTATCTGCCTACGTTCAAACAGAATCTCCATAAAAACAGACCTTGAAGATGGACAAATTACCTAGCTGTTATACAGAAACATAGACCTTGAAGACGGACATACCTAGCTGTTATACAGGGTGTACCAGAACAGTCTATTCCACTTTGATCACCAGGATTTAATCACCCGGGATATCAAATTGAACTCCAGGAGACACTTTGGTGTCATTTGATCACCTATGGATAAAAAGTCCATTTTGATCACCTAGGTGAATCAAACTGCTATGGGAGGTAGCTATTGACCTCTAACCTACACCTAAAAAATATAAAGAAACTAGCTTTCGCCCGCGGCTTCACCCGCGTGAAATTTAGTGTCACAGATCGTCATAAATTACAGCCTATATGTTATTCTGGGTTATAAATAATAATACTGTAAAGTTTCATCAAAATCCGTTCAGTAGTTTTTGCGTGAAAGAGTAACAAATATCCATCCAGACATTCAAACTTTCGCATTTATAATATTTTTTTTTATGCATAACAAGGCAGGTATTTGACCACAATCGCATGGGATGCAGTCTAGGATGGTAGGTACATATCTGCCCTGTAAGTGCTTATTCACTCTCGCCTTGAAGAGGCCCGGATTATAGTTTTCGGGAAAGACAGCAGCAGGCAACGAATTCCAGTCCCTAGCTGTTCGCATAAAAGAGTCATCATTAAGTAGTCGTCATTAGTAGGATAAGTTAACATTTCATGTCAACATTTTAGCGAAAACACCGTGACCAAAGCTGTAAAGTATTATATTAATTTGTCTTTGTTAATTACACCAGAATATCTTAACAACATTTGTTTTATCAATCAGTTTAAAACAATAAATACAATGAATTACAACAGACACTTGACTGATGATAAAAAGATAAAAAAAATCTCGACTGTTGATAAGATATCTGAATGACAAGCATTTTATTTTGAAATAGGCATTTTTAGGGACCCTGTTGCTATCCATATTGTTTAAGTAGTCTTATAAACAATATGAAAATGTAATAACATCGAAAACCGTAGATATTTTGACCAAAAACATTATTAAAAGACACTTGACGGACGGATTTGGATAAGGATTATTACTAGAAAACCGGCTTAACTTCGCTGTCTGTCTGTATCTAATGAACCGTGATAGACAGACAGCTGAAATTTTCACAGATGATGTATATTGCCGCTTTAGCGACAGATATTAAAAAAAAGTAAATATAAAGGGGGCTCCCATGCACCAAACGTGATTTTTAGCCATTTTTGCTCGATATTAATAATGGCAACATGAAGACGCTTCAAATATTCACATAATTTTTTGTTCCCTCCTAAATTTTATTTTTTTAAATACATAATTATAATTATATCTCTTTTTGAAGTGAATAGGTACTTTTCCAACTCGCACTTGGCCGGTTTTTATGCAGTAGAGGACGGTCGTCTACCCCAGACTTTGTTAACCTTTATTATGACTTTGACTTTAAAAGAGATAAAGTTGATAAAGCAGAATAACTAGTAAGTATTTACCCAGCTGTAACAAAATTACTACATTTATTTAATCGTCAATTTAAATGTAAGCTAACCTAAGCATATCGGCATGTTGTCTACATAAAATTTTAATTTGTATTAAATTAAAGTTCTCACCTTATTTTTAACCATATTTTACCATAGTTATTCTCTTTAAATCCGAAAATAATAAAAATTTTGGAACTCACTGTGTCCGTTTAAGGGTTAATGAATAAAAATAGCACGTATTGAGTACCTATTATTGAGGTGGTTTCTTACATTTTGTTAGATATTTAATTTATAATTTAAGTAATAATTATTACTTACATTAAAATCTAAAAACCGTGCAATAAAAACAAAAGTACCAACGAACTAGCAAAAAACCAGTTTATTTTTTGTCAATAAGTTAAGTGCACTGCGGATGCTAACAGTCACTAAAGGTCACTGGCCTGTGATATCTGTACGAAATTAAAACTAATAAAAACTCTTTAGTTCTTACCTCATCTTCAAGCCAGTATCAAAACACTGTCACGTATTAAAAAAAACACAAATTAAAATAAAAACCAAACGCGAAATTCACAAAACAAAAACTAAAACATTCCGTATTCGAATTCAAAAATTTAAATTTCGAACGCGTGATGGCGGCAGCGCGGTCTGGGTTTGATTGAAACTCGCCTCCGCATCCCAAATGAACAAGTTCAAGGTTTGACTCATAGATTAAATACCCCGCAGATAAGCGAGTGCTAATCAGCTTAACGATATGACAATGCAGTTAGTACTTGGTTCGAACTGGAAGTTTATTTTTAGACGTAAAATAAGTCTTTGTTAGATAATTAGCTGACTGAGCTAGTATAATACTAAGGCTGGGTTGCAACATTCTAATTTAACTTTGACAAATATCAAAAATCTGTCAAACTCCATACAAAAAGCACCGGTTTACGTTAGTTACCGTTAAAGTTAGGTGGTGCAGCAACTCAGTATATTATCCTTCCTATACAGGGTGGAAACGTTAAGTGATCTCACTCGATTATTTCTTAACTATACAAGATATTAAAAAACTGGTTACTGATCCTGAAAGTGCTTAATGAGCTCTTTCAAACGGTTTACCATTAATAAGTTACAGAATAAACTGGATCTATCTGAAAATTCAATGTTTCCAGCTTCCATACTAAATGTATGCCAGACACACAATATTAGAAGTGTAATTTTTTTAATTTTATAATAAATACTTAAAATAAACTCGTAAATTGTATTCTTATTTTAAATTATTAATGAAAAACATTGGTTTTAGGCTTTACTTGCTATAATATTGTCAAGAGATGAGTGTCATGACTGTGGTAGTACTAAATGTAAATGGAAGAAGGAAACATTGAATTTTTTGTTAGATCCAGTTTATTCTGTAACCTATTATTGATACCATTGGATAGAGCTTGTGAAGCACTTTTAGAATCAGTAATCAGTTTTACGATATCATATGTAATTTTTAAAATAATGTGACTTTACCAAATGTATGGAAGCTGGAAACATTGAAGTTTCGGATAGATCCAGTTTATTCTGTTCTGTAACCTATTATTAATACCGTTTGATAGAGCTCATGAAGCACTTTCAGGATCAATAACTAGTTTATTGATATCTTGTATAGTTTAGAAATAATCGAGTGAGATCACTTATCGTTTCCACCTTGTATATCTTTAATGACTTTTTTATACGACTATAGTCGCAGTTGTCAAGAAATTACCCACCACCTAACCTACTTACTTACGAAAAAGTCGGTCAAACTCCATTCAAATAAACTGGTTAAAGTTATAGTTAGAAAGGTACCTACAGTTAAAGATAAGGAAGTTAGTGGACATTTTCTACATGTACCCATGATTTAATGATCCACGGGTAGTAGTAATGATCCATGAGATTTTCCACTTAGAGCACCTATCGATATTTTGGAATACGCCAGGTGCTATTCGTCTAGTATTCGCCTAGTGCTAGCTGTTGTATTTGATTGTCTTCGCTGAAAACCCGATATGTAGGAAGTTAAGAACATATTTTGAAAGTAGGCATAATCTGAGTAACTATCTACTCTGTTGTCCTTGTTTAATCTTTGTACTAAACCTGTCCACTTATTACGTTTGTGTAGTAAATAAACATCACACTTCTTATCTTTGTTGTAAAATAACACCTAAGACTAGGCGCACACCACCGATTTTTAGTTGGCCGATAGTTATTATTACAGATATCGGCCAAATCAAATCGGTGTAATGTGCGCACTTCCATATGATAGGTACATGGCCATACTGATCAACTACCCGACTAAACTATCGGCCGACGAAAAATCGATGGTCTGCACGGGCACCCACTTGCATAAGATGCGACATTGTTTTTTACCTATCCTATTAGTCGTCATGTACCATCGCCATCGGCAACAGTGTTAACTATCCATTGCCTGTCATGTCGTCTCGTTCTATCGCAAAGAATCACCATTTGATGAGAGCGAGAGCAAAAACGGAAATGAATAGTTAACAGTGTGGCCGTGTTTACATTTATTTCGTCTTTTTAACCTTGTCTGGAAATTATAGAGACGATGTTTTGTTATGACATCGTAAACGAATTACTGTTATTTAACTGTAAATTCTTTTATTTTTGGTCAGTTGCGGTAGCGTGTCAAACCAAGTTCAAGTAGATTTGATTAAAATAAACGGGACTATTCCCACCTCTCGTTCCCACCACTGCAACTCCTGTGTAGCCAGGATCTACCGCTTGGCCGCCATAAAAATCCAACCAATGAAGGTCAAGTTTGTCCCGAGGGAAAGTTAAACTGTCATTAATAGAAATAAAATAAATAAAAATCATTTGTTTTCAGACAAAAGCAGTCCATAGTTTGGTTAGTAACAATTTGAACTTAGATACGAGTCATTGGACCCGCAACGAAATTAATCAGAAGAACATAGGAGTTCGAAATTTAATTTGATTCAAATAGTGTTCCGTGTTCCATGGTGCTCTTTGGGTACGGAACACTATTCGCCCATTTCCAACAATTAAGCAAAGAAAAAATGAATAACGCTAACTTTTTAGTAGTTGAATCATCATCATGATCCTCATCATTGGTCTCCACTGTAGGAGCAACGCCCTTTCTGATTTACCAGAAGCAAATGGAGGATTCGGTTGGGGAGGCGATGTCCGTGCCCATTAGAAATCGAACCCAGGACCTCTGGATCTGAAGCAGGTGGTCTCACCACTAGACCAGAGGCCTTTCGTAAAGAGGTTACTAAACATTTGTGTGTCATCTGTCATCCGCTTTGCACTGGAGGGAAGTCTAACTTCGAACTCCTCCTATGTTCTTCTGATTAATTCGTTGCGGGTCCAATGACAGTTTAGCTTTCCCCCGGGGCAAACTTGGCCTTCACTGGTTGGGTTTTATTGGCGGTCAAGCTGTAGATCCTGGCTACACAGGAGATGCAGCGGTGGGAACGAGAGGTGGGAATAGTCCCGTTTAGACCACAGAGGCTGTTGTGGGAACAACTTCAAGTAGGTACTTACCGCATTTTGCCGCCTTTTTCACAATATAATTGTTACTCGTTAAAGTTCAATTTACAATGTCACTGTCCTATATCTACTTATTATAATAGAAACAGACATAAATTATGTTTTGTAATATTGTATTGACACATTAGAATTCTAAACAAGTATGAACACATCGATAGAAGTGGTACTTTTATATTTACAATGATCGATGATCGATACTGAGGTTTAAGTTGAACTAGCTTTTCCCGCGACTCTTCTCGCATGAATTTTCTGTGAAAGAAAAAGAAATAAAAAATCTTTTGTGACGCAACTCGCGAATATACTAACCCGTTCGCGCTAAGTTTGCCGGTCCGTGGAATGAGCGTCCCCTCTCCCAACCGCGATTAAACGCAATTATTTAGTGATTAAACGCAATTAATGTGTCTTATTTTACGCAAATACTCAATTTTTTATCAATAATGATAAATAAAAAATATTTTAAATATAGTTTGTTATAGTTATAGACGCTTCCCTTCGAGTGACGGCATATATCGCCAGCGGCAAGCTTAAAAAGCGAACGGATAGTAAACTTTTTTTTGCCAAAAACAACTCCTACATGTGAAATGAATCTTAAGTTTTCCAGCGACTTCATAAAATGAGGTTCTCAATTCGGTTGTAGGTACCTACATTTTTTTACCATAAAGGTACCTTCAGCGTTCGGTTTCATCCCGCTATTTAATTTTTTTAATGTTTGCAATGTTAAAACGCATTTATAATATTAGTAGGATGTATTTAATTTCAAATCTACCTCAAAATCATCAAACTTTGTGCAGTATTATCGACACGAAATTACAATAAACAAACAGACACTCACTTGCTTTTATTGGGATATCGATTTAATAAATTGTGATTTATGTAGTATCAGTAGTACTCTTATCAAGCCTTGTAAATGTCATGATAATAAATGTTTAACTGACTGATAAATAGATTCCTAGTTAATTTAATTAAAAGTATCATGTCGTATTACATTGTCTTGTTGTGCTCTAATGGCTCAGTTACACTATGCGAGGAAATTGACCGAAACACGCGAACACGCACTTCGAAGTATGGGCGACGCACAGCGAAACTAACTAAAGTGCGTGTTTACACTATCGCCAGTCACAAACAATACTATGAGGTCTCACAGTACGCGTGGACGCAGAAGGTGACACACGAACCAATCACAGAGCTGTATTCAACGCTGTGCGTTGGATTTGCTGCTTCACTTAAGCAAGCATCGTTTGTGAATACGGGCGTATGTCTCGATCAATTTTCCGCATATACTTAGATGACCCACGCTGAACTGTCCCACCAAACTCAATGACAGGGGGGCGCTACCATCGTTCAACTATATGGTTTCCAACATGGCAAAAATCGGAACCAGCGATCCGGTATTGACGGTGGCGCCCCACTGTCAATGTCATCGACAGGACAGTCCAGTATTTTGGAACTATACCACACATTTTTAGATTAGGTGACATTATGGCTGGTTTTAGAGTCACGCTGACGCACGATGACCGTCAGCGCTGACAGCCGAAATGTATGAAGCGTCGGCGCCGAGCGATCAGCGTCACTCAGGAACGTTTTCTTCAATGAGGGCTATCGTTTTACGTCGTTGAACGATGGTAGCGCCCCCCTGTCATTGAGTTTGGCGGGACAGTTCAGCGTGGGTCATCTATACTCATTATGAAGGTAATAAAAAAATAAAAAGCCATGTAATATCAGTAAACTTTATTGTTCCTACAAAAGCGCCGCGTACGAGCCGAACAGCTGCGAATGTTCGCGCGAATGTTGCTCGCCGCGCAGCTTCAGTACCTGCACTTCGCCGCTTGGTGTCACTAGTGCCTGTAAAAAAGAAATTAATATTATCTATTTACAAAAATAATAATAATTTATACTTCTGCAAAACCTAGACCTAAACAAACGCCCGAAATACACAAACATTACTATGAGGTCTCACAGTGCGCGTGGACGCACAGGGTGACACACAAACCAATCACAGAGCTAATTCAACGCTGTGCGTTCGATTTTCTGCTTAACAAGCATCGTTTGTGAATACGGACGTAAGACTAATTTTAACTTTAAGGCTGCAAAAATTCATAAATTCATTTTATTTTTGCAAGCAGGCTTTTAAAAAGCACTTTTACATGTCCCAGTATTAATCCTACCACTGCTTCGGGACAATAAATGGGCCAGTGCTGAGAAGAAGCAGCGCAAGAAACTCAGTCATTATTGTCAGCCTCTTTTTCAAGGGTTTGTGAGTTGCATCATGTTAACTTTACGTAACTATAATTATTATATTATGGTGTTTTTGTATGGAGTTTGACAGACTTGACGTTTGTCATAGTTAGCTAAAGTAAGATGATGCAACCCAGAGTAAGCATTTGTATAGTAACAGACATTAGATACGTACCTAGTCTTACTATTCAAAAGTTTAGGCGATCGCTATCGTTTCTTTGTATTCCATCATTCTGACTATCGTAAAAAACTTGCAATGTCACCATTAATAAGTACAATATTTTACCTTAATACCTATTCACGATGACAGTTATTTATTTATTGATGACATCATCATTTCAGCCACAAGACCTCCACTGCTGAACATAGGCCTCCCCCAATGATTGCCACATCGCCCGGTTGGTAGCGGCCTGCATCCAGCGCCTTCCTGCTACGTTTATGAGGTCGTCGGTCCACCTTGTGGGTGTACCGTGTGGGTACAGATGATAAAAAAACTCGCTGGAATACAATTAACTCTCCCTCCCATTTACCGCACACCTCCCCTCGTTCGCCCTGTCCAGAGGGCTGAAGTGTGAGTTTACATAAAACGTCCTCTAGTAAGCGCGTTAAAAAAATTTACAAACATTTTAGTTCTCGAAAGTTTCCGCTAGGGGCGCTGTACAATCCGTCATACATTTAATGTAATTTTTTACGCGTGACGACATTTGATTTAACCTCACACTCAGCCCTCAGAGCGTCGATGAAATGTGACGCCATTGCTGTCAGGTGCGCAGTTCTCGACCAGGTTGTAGATTAATAATCACTTAGATGATAAATTACCTACCTAGGTATAATAAAATAATTTTCGACGACTCGACATGACAACGCACAATTATTTGCTTGGCCACGATGACTGGCCATTATCAAGTTACCTTGAGAACTCGCACGGTCAACATGATACGAGTAAATGGACAACATTGAATACTCAAACAAATATACGAACATTATTCATTATTATCTCATCTTGGTCACTGGTACAAGCTGAGTCGATCTCTTTTATTTAATAATTTAAGTAGGCTGTACCTAACACTAATATTATAATTATAAAGTTTTAATTTTAACTAATAAAACGTTTGGATTTTTGTGCAATAAACAAATAAAACTTGGCATTTTTTCTTAGTCAGCATACCTTTACATTAAATAGGCCCATCATGATGACTTTCCCGAAAAACTAAAAAAAAAACCCCGAGTTTCTTGCGCTGATTGAGGTTGAGGGAAGTGTCTTTGGTAGGCACCTCCCGAAAAACTCCCACAAAAATCCCTATCATAAGCTTCGTCGTCTCAGCACTGATGCACAAACTGATGGGTCCACATTTTGCAGAAAATATATGACATTCTAGGTAGTGAAGGTTCAAGAAAGCATCTTGATGTGGACAGCGCAGGACCAGTTGTTATGGAGATCCTTACAGGAGGCCTTTGTCTAGCAGTGGACGTCCTTTAGTTTAAAACGACACGCTATGGTTATTGACTAGTAGGAGCAGCAAAGATACCTACTCTCCCGAAAAACTCCAAAAAGCGCTTCCTAAAACTCTGAAAATAATTACTTTTTATTTACCAGAGCCCCATGTCACCCGGCCTCAGCTGTGTGCGAACGCGACAGGTAGCTTGGGGTCATTGGACGAAATTCTACGTGCTCGGCGACCGGACTGAAGATGCGGGCAACGCAGGATCTATACTTAGGAAGATCCTTGGGGGAGGCCTTTGTCCTGCAGAGGGCGTCCTTTGGCTGAAACGACACACTTATGTATTTGACTCACCAGGGCTCCATGTCCTCCCGCCATGGCACCAGCAGCGCCATCGACCGCGACTTCAGCTCGGATGTCGCTGCGCGTGAGCTCCCACGCCAGCAGCGCGCCGCAGCGCAGCGCAGCGGACATGCAGCACGGGTTCACACGGGACCAGAGTCGCTGTACTAGGCCAGAAGACCCTTGGAGTCCTGGGATAGAGTCGCTATCTAACCGGGTCATAATACCCTGGGAAAGAGTTGCCATTGAACCGGGCCGGATAATCCCAAAGAGTCTAAACTAGCAGACATATTTTGTCCCGGTGGTGAAACAACATTGATAGATATTTGCTCGAAACACACAAAAAACACTGCCTGTGTTTCTTACGCTGCTTCTCTTCCTTCTTACCCTAGTTTTTGTCCCGAAACAGTGGTAGTAAAACCCTATTTGCAAAAAAATTACATTCTAGATAGTGAAGGTTGAAGGAAGTAGCTAAAGTCTGGTCGCCGAGCACGTAGAATTTCGTCCAATGACCCCAAGCTACCTGTCGCGTTCGCACACTCACTGCTGTCGCCCGTCGCACAGTCGCGACAGCGACGCGAGCGATAAGGATGGGTAGCTTGGGGTCATTGGACGAAATTCTACGTGCTCGGCGATATGCCATACTTAGGAATATTCTTGGTGGGGGCCTGTGTCCAGCAGCGGGCTTCCTTTGGCTGAAACGACACACTTATGTATTTGACTCACCAGAGCCCCGTGTCCTCCCGCCATGGCACTAGCAGCGTCATCTACCGCCAGCATCCGTCGTGGAGATACTTGGTGATTGGTTTGGTCCAGCAGTGGACGTCTTTTCTTTGTAATCAAGTGACTTTCTTCTACCAGAGCCCCGTGTCCTCCCGCCATGGCACTAGCAGCGCCATCGACCGCGCCTTCAGCTCGGATGTCGCTGCGCGTGAGCTCCCACGCCAGCAGCGCGCCGCAGCGCAGCGCAGCGAACATGCAGCACGGATTCACCAGTACTAATAGAGTTTCTAAGAATGGGTGTAATATCTAAACCTTCCTTATTAATCTTGATTAAAACCGCAGTTAAAAAATCTGTTGTGTAATTTAAATGATCCAAGCGTACTTTACTACGTAAGACGGAGCGACTTTTATACTATCTAGAGAAGTTCCTCGCAGCACCATCACTCTTCGCGTAGATATCGAGGCGATTAAGGGGGATTACTAATGTTTGGCCAAAAAACGTTTCCCAAATTATCACATCGCAAACAACGTTTCGCAAATTTTCATTTGGCAAATTCTCATTTGGCAAAACAACTTATTGCAAACTTTTAATTCGCAAATGTCGTTTTTGGCATATTATTGTTTAGCAAATTATCTTTTGGCAAAGTATGTTTTGCCAAATGTTTCATTTGGCAAAAATATTTCACGATAAACTATTTACAAAACAATTTGATTGGTGCATAGAATGGAATACAAATTAGCTTGTGGTTATTATTTTGTTTAATCCTTCAAGGCCCGCGAATCTAGACACAATAGAATCAATTGTTATGGCATTAATGTATGCCGTCTGGGACTTTAAAGGTTAATGGGTAGTTAATATAATTTTTTTTCTAAAAAAATTTTCATATTTCATTCTTTTTATCGAAATTTCTAAATGATTCATTAACAATAGAGATGATTCTAGCGCTCGGCGGCCGCTACCGCGGCACGCTTCGCTCGCCTTCGCGCATTAAGGGTCACTGTTCTAACCTAACCTACTATTTTCTACAATACCTACTTTTTGCAACCATACTATTTTTAGCAATCTCTCTGTTTTACATAAAATTATTGTGAAAACCATGACCATGTGCCTTATGCTTTGATTAGTGGGTAACGGTGGGTACTCGTAAGTATGTGAAGTGTCAATTTGACCAAGCAAATTATTTGGGATATAATATTTGGCAAAATAAAACATTTGCTATATAAACATTTGCCAAGTAAAATTTGGCCAAATGTTAATTTGACCAAATGAATTAGTTGCGAAAAGTACAGTTGCTAAAAGTTTATTTGGGAAATGAAACTTTGGCGATAAGTTGTTTGCGAAGTGAAATTTGGCGAAAAGTAATTTGGCCAAACGGAAGGATACCNCACACTTACGTATTTGACTCACCAGAGCACCGTGTCCTCCCGCCATGGCACCAGCAGCGCCATCGACCGCGACTTCAGCCCGGATGTCGCTGCGCGTGAGCTCCCACGCCAGCAGCGCGCCGCAGCGCAGCGCAGCCCACATGCAGCACGGGTTCACACGGGACCAGAGCCGCTGTACTAGGCCAGAAGATTCTTGGAGTCCTGGGATAGAGTCGCTATCTAACCGGGTTAGAATACCCCGGGACAGAGTGGGGAGAACACACTACGACATGAATATTGGGTAGTCCAGTGTGACTAAAGTGGGCCAGAAGATCGCTAACTGTCTAAATGTTGCGCCCTGATGCTGGAGTTACAATAGAAAGAGCTTTCATAGAGACTCGTTTGAAAAATTCCCACAAAAAACTTTTTCTAAGAATATTGTGCCGCTTCTTCTCAGCACTGACTCTAAGCAGTGGCAGGGTTACGACTTTCTAGTGGAGGTTGAGGGAAGCGTCTTTGGTAGATACTTACTGGAAAAAATCTCACATGCAACCCTGAGTTTCTTGCGCTTCTTCCCAGCACTGGTTTGGTCCACTTATAGTCCCGAAGCAGTGTTATAAAAGGAGGCCTTTATCCAGCTATGGATGTCCTTTGGCTGAAACGACACACTTATTATGTAGGTATATGACTCACCAAAGCCCCGTGTCCTCCCGCCATGGCACTAGCAGCGTCATCTACCGCCAGCATCCGTCGTGGAGATACTTGGTGATTGGTTTGGTCCAGCAGTGGACGTCTATTCTTTGAATCCACCATGTTTCTTTAGTCTTACCAGAGCCCCATGTCCTCCCGCCATAGCACTAGCAGCGCCATCGACCGCGACTTCAGCTCGGATGTCGCTGCGCGTGAGCTCCCACGCCAGCAGCGCGCCGCAGCGCAGCGCAGCGGACATGCAGCCGGGTTCACAAGGGACCAGAGTCGCTGTACTAGGTCAGAAGACCCTTGGAGTCCTGGGATAGAGTCGCTATCTAACCGGGTCATAATACCCAGGGAAAGAGTTGCCATTGAACCGGGCCGGATAATCCCAAAGAGTCTAAACTAGCAGACATATTTTGTCCCGGTGGTGAAACAACATTGATAGAATATATTTCTCGAAACACTCACAAAAATCACAGCCTGGGTTTCTTACGCTGCTTCACTTCCTTCTTACCCTTGTTTTTGTCCCGAAACAGTGGTAATAAAAGCCTATTTGAAAAAAAAATACATTCTAGATAGTGAAGGTTGAAGGAAGTAGCTAAAGTCTGGTCGCCGAGCACGTAGAATTTCGTCCAATGACCCCAAGCTACCTGTCGCGTTCGCATATTCACTGCTGTCGCCCGTCGCACAGTCGCGACAGCGGACCAAACGATAAGGATGGGTAGCTTGGGGTCATTGGACGAAATTCTACGTGCTCGGCGATATGCCATACTTAGGAATATTCTTGGTGGGGGCCTGTGTCCAGCAGCGGGCTTCCTTTGGCTGAAACGACACACTTACGTATTTGACTCACCAGAGCCCCGTATCCTCCCGCCATAGCACTAGCAGCGCCATCGACCGCGCCTTCAGCTCGGATGTCGCTGCGCGTGAGCTCCCACGCCAGCAGCGCGCCGCAGCGCAGCGCAGCGGACATGCAGCACGGGTTCACACGGGACCAGAGCCGCTGTACTAGGCCAGAAGATTCTTGGAGTCCTGGGATAGAGTCGCCATCTAACCGGGTCATAATACCCCGGGAAAGAGTTGCCATTGAACCGGGCCGGATAATCCCAAAGAGACTAAACTAACGGACATATTTTGTCCCGGTGGTGAAAAAACATTGATAGTTATTTGCTCGAAACACACAAAAAACACTGCCTGGGTTTCTTACGCTGCTTCTCTACCTTTTTACCCTAGTTTTTGTCCCGAAACAGTGGTAGTAAAACCCTATTTGCAAAAAAATTACATTCTAGATAGTGAAGGTTGAAGGAAGTAGCTAAAGTCTGGTCGCCGAGCACGTAGAATTTCGTCCAATGACCCCAAGCTACCTGTCGCGTTCGCACACTCACTGCTGTCGCCCGTCGCACAGTCGCGACAGCGAATTATTGTGAAAACCATGACCATGTGCCTTATGCTTTGATTAGTGGGTAACGGTGGGTACTCGTAAGTATGTGAAGTGTCAATTTGACCAAGCAAATTATTTGGGATATAATATTTGGCAAAATAAAACATTTGCTATATAAACATTTGCCAAGTAAAATTTGGCCAAATGTTAATTTGACCAAATGAATTAGTTGCGAAAAGTACAGTTGCTAAAAGTTTATTTGGGAAATGAAACTTTGGCGATAAGTTGTTTGCGAAGTGAAATTTGGCGAAAAGTAATTTGGCCAAACGGAAGGATACCAGCAGCGTCATCTACCGCCAGCATCCGTCGTGGAGATACTTGGTGATTGGTTTGGTCCAGCAGTGGACGTCTTTTTCATTGAAATCAGGTGACTTTCATCTTACCAGAGCCCCGTGTCCTCCCGCCATGGCACTAGCAGCGCCATCGACCGCGACTTCAGCTCGGATGTCGCTGCGCGTGAGCTCCCACGCCAGCAGCGCGCCGCAGCGCAGCGCAGCGGACATGCAGCACGAGTTCACACGGGACCAGAGTACATATCGTAGCTGTCTCTAACGTATTCACAAACAATGCTTGCTTAAGTGAAGCAGCAAATCGAACGCACAGCGATGAATAGAGCTCTGTGATTGGTTCGTGTGTGACCCTGTGCGTCCACGCACACTGTGAGACCTCATAGTAATGTTTGTGAATACGGGCTACACTACAAAATACATCTAGTCCCTATGATGAAGTTAGAATAAGAACAACGTTTCTAGAAGACTCCGAGGTGTCTCTAAACTAGCAGATACATTTTGTCCTGATGCTGAAGTTATAGCAAATACATCTTCGGAAGATACCTAGTTACTCTTTCGAAAAACAAAAAACCTTGCTTGTGTTTTTTGCGCTACTTCTCAGCACTGACTCTAAGCAGTGGCAGGGTTACGACTTTCTAGTGGAGGTTGAGGAAAGCGACTTTGGTAGATACTGGAAAAAATCTCACATGCAACCCTGAGTTTCATGCGCTTCTTCCCAGCACTGGTTGGTCCACTTATAGTCCCGAAGCAGTGTTATAAAAGGAGGCCTCTATACAGCTGTGGATGTCCTTTGGCTGAAATTTCGCTCCGTGCGTGATTAAAACAGTTTACCTGGCTGGTAGTACCTGAAAATCTACAAATAAATGACTTTTATCTTACCAGAGCCCCGTGTCCTCCCGCCATGACACTAGCAGCGCCATCAACCGCGACTTCAGCTCGGATGTCGCTGCGCGTGAGCTCCCACGCCAGCAGCGCGCCGCAGCGCAGCGCAGCGAACATGCAGCACGGGTTCACACGGGACCAGTCGCTGTACTAGGCCAGAAGACCCTTGGAGTCCTGGGATAGAGTCGCTATCTAACCGGGTCATAATACCCTGGGAAAGAGTTGCCATTGAACCGGGCCGGATAATCCCAAAGAGTCTAAACTAGCAGACATATTTTGTCCCGGTGGTGAAACAACATTGATAGATATTTGCTCGAAACACACAAAAAACACTGCCTGTGTTTCTTACGCTGCTTCTCTTCCTTCTTACCCTAGTTTTTGTCCCGAAACAGTGGTAATAAAAGCCTATTTGCAAAAAAAAATACATTCTAGATAGTGAAGGTTTAAGGAAGTAGCTAAAGTCTGGTCGCCGAGCACGTAGAATTTCGTCCAATGACCCCAAGCTACCTGTCGCGTTCGCACACTCACTGCTGTCGCCCGTCGCACAGTCGCGACAGCGACGCGAGCGATAAGGATGGGTAGCTTGGGGTCATTGGACGAAATTCTACGTGCTCGGCGATATGCCATACTTAGGAATATTCTTGGTGGGGGCCTGTGTACAGCAGAGGGCGTCCTTTGGCTGAAACGACACACTTACGTATTTGACTCACCAGAGCCCCGTGTCCTCCCGCCATGGCACCAGCAGCGCCATCGACCGCGACTTCAGCTCGGATGTCGCTGCGCGTGAGCTCCCACGCCAGCAGCGCGCCGCAGCGCAGCGCAGCGAACATGCAGCACGGATTCACACGGGACCAGCTCACGGACTTCACGGCAATCTGCGTGGAAATATAATATAATAATAAATCTTTGGACAATTTCACACAGCGCCAGCTAGTCCCAAAGTAAGCAACTTAATGCTTGTGTTATGGGTGCTAGCTTAACGGATATACTACTTATATACTTTTTTTTTTAAATACATAAATATTATACATAGTCACACCCAGACCCGTCACAGAAATTAAAATTCATCATTTCAATTTCTTCAATATAGATTAATAAAGCCTAGATAGATAGCAAGCGCACGAAAAGTGAAGCTTCTTTTAGTTGACCATTCTGGTCCACTTCAAAATTGAAACTTTTTTGCTTTAATTAAATGTCTTATAAATAACAAATAATAATTTCATTAAGATAAATGCATAATAAAAATAAAAACCTTTTAATTTCCAAGCGGCAAGCGGAAGGTAGGGGTTCGATTTCCCGCCTTAGGCAGTTCAATTTTTTCAAGTTGTTTATTTAAAATTTTAACAACGTTTTGACAGTAATTACATAAGATTTGACAATAATGACAAGACTTTTGCCTCACTTTTCCCTCAATTGGATTGTTTTCACGGGAATATTAATTTGTACACTACAACAAACCTATACTTCTATATCTATACTAATATTATAAAGGCGAAAGTAACTCTGTCTTGCTTTCACGCCTAAACCACTGAACTGATTTTGATGTGGCATAGAGATAGTTTGAGTCCCGGGAAAGGACATAGGATAGTTTTCATCCCGGTTTTTGAATCAGGAACGCGCGTGATAAAGTTTTTCTTGAAAGACAAAATTCCATGCGGGCGAAGCCGCGGGCGGAAAGCTAGTATTATTATAAACAGTCACTCACTCCAGCTGAAGGCCTGAGGCTCATCGAAGGGTTCTCCGGCCTCACGGAGGCGCTGCCCAGGAACCGGCCCTTGTGGTCTGTGTGGTACTTCTCGCTTTCGGCTGATGGGGGACCATTCCTGTGGGAAAGGATAGAAGTATTGAATAGATAGAGATACTCTTTATTTAAGCAATTTTATCGCTGAGGATCGATTTCTTCGAGTTAACGCAGGGAAAAGGGAAAGGAGATTCTTTATAAAAAGACAATTTTCTTCAGTTTTTCTTTGAGATTTCGATATTGGTCTCTTAATACTGATAATTTATTCATCATCATCAGACTCCACTATAGAAGCTAATTGATCTTTCCGAATTTACAGAGACAAATGGATGATTTGTCCTATACCAGGCCTGTTCATCTCCGCGAGTTTACATCGAAAACAAAAGACGCACGATGGCCACCTACAGGATTACTATTGGACAAGGCCTCACATACGAGCGAGCATTAACTCACGCACGCGTATTCTTGTGTATGATGGAAAAAAATAAAGAAAATGGTGTACTAAATACTGTGCAGTATTTAACTGCCTAAATACACTCAGCGGCACGGAATTTGGCCCAAGCCTAAACACCCAGATATGAGCCCAAATAGGTGTAGTATACCTAAGTTTCGTGTGACATGTTAACAGAACATTTGTTTTTGTTAATTTAAGAGGCGTCTGTTTAACTTTTTTGACTCTAGAAACGCATTTCGTTGTTGGAGCGTAAAGAGTACGGGTAAGTTTAAATTCGATATTAAATGTTGTAAGGGTTTGGCGTTTTGTTTTTTGTTTTTAAATGAATCTTAGGAGTGCGACTTACGTTTTCTAGAGAACATACAAATTAGACGTTAGACTAATGGAGTAAAGTTCTATGGATCGATGATTGCAGAGTCACCTTAAGAGCTCCAGACGGCCGTGGTAGTGTATAGAGAAGGTGCGGAGAAGAGTTACTATGTAAACAGACAGTTTTCATAAAGAGTTTACTCCATTAGCCTTGCGTCCAATTTGCTTGTTCTCTACGAAACCTAAGTTGCACTTGGCGAAGGTATCGGAGAAGTTCTAGTCCTCGAACTGGTCTTCGAGTATGTAGGTTATATTCCTCCATTTTTCTTCTTATTGTGTGCTCACTGACATTCACTTGGCATGCTGTTTGTAAACGCTGGCGTATCTCTAACTTAGTGAGAACCCGATTTCTTGATATTGTAAGCACGATAATCGGGTCATCGCGCGCTGACATATACCTTTAATTCCCCACTTCTTGGTCTTCTTGTGTAAAGGGTGGTCTGGTCATGCCTTTTTAACGTGTATCTTAAGTTTGTACGTCATAAATTAAAAGTTTCAGCCATCTCCCGCTGCGTACTCCCTTGACTTCTAAGCAACACTATTTGAGCAAGTTGAGCTGGAGTAATGGGCATTATACTCAAATTATGGAAACGAGAATAACCCTAAGATTCATTTAAAAATAAAAAACAAAACGCCAAACGCTTACAACATTTAATATCGAATTTAAACTTCCCCGTACTCTTTACGCTCCAACAACGAAATGCGTTTCTAGAGTCAAAAAAGTTAAACAGACGCATTTTTTTATGAATATAGCCTCTTAAATTAACAAAAACAAATGTTCTGTTAACATGTCACACGAAACTTAGGTATACTACACCTATTTGGCCTCATATCTGGGTGTTACGGCTTGGGCCAAATTCCGTGCCGCTGAGTAACAAAGTGGAACAAAATGGTGCTTGACTCTTGAGACAAGCTAAATTACACCATATTGTTAATGACATTGAGCATACAATTTTTTGAATACCTTCGCGAAGTAAAACTTCTGTACCTACGTAGTACTTATTATTATTCTGTGCCTATACTCCCCACGCTAGCCAAGCGGTGTGGGTAGGCCTAATGATCGCATATTTGTCTCTTGGGAAGAGTGGAAATTGTCCTATTTCAGGGCACCTAGCGTGGTGGTACAGGTTCAGGACAACATATCAGCTGGTGCTGAGAACATATCAGAATATTTAATTACACTTACCGACAGTCCAGCGTAAGTAGAACCCTGGACTCCAGTATGGAGCACAGGTTGACAGTTCCAGAGTCAGTGGCCGCTAGGAAGTACGGCAGAGAGTGAGCCGAGACATCCAGGCAGGTCACTGATGACGTGTCAGCTGTGTGAAGCAAAAACACATTTTTTTAGACTGGCAACACTAAAGGAAACTGGTCTATTCCCGCCTCTTGGTCCCACCGCTGCAACTCCTGTGTAGCCAGGATCTACAGCTCGACCGCCAATAAAAACCCAACCAATAAAGGCCAAGTTTGTCCGCGTCAAATAGTTCGAAGTGGCCAAAAAGTTGACAACACAACTTTATTCCAATAACAATTATTGTAACAAAGACGTGTTAGTAACTAACTTTCTGACCTCCATGGGGAACACGAACTATTTGACACAACCGTGTGACGTAAAAATTATAGAAAAGTCAACGTAACTTGAAAATACCACAATACTTACTAGCAACACTGAACCTGTTGACCTTGAAGACTCCAGCCGTTTTCGTGCAGCACAAAACCTCCCCTCTATTTTTGGCCACCAAATAATAATCTCTCTCCTGCACTCTCATTATTTTCAAGTCGCTACACACGATCCCCGTCTCCCAGTTGCTTTGTGGTAGAAAATTATTTACACTGGCAGCACTGGCCGGCCTGTCACTTTTGACAGCTGACTTTTGGCGGGAAATCTGCTTTTTTTCTTTCCTCCTGACTGACGTTCGCCGTTTCGCCGCGTTTAGGTTAAAAGATGGCACGAATGTATTTTCAGGAGAATTTGGCCGTGGCATGTCAATGTGGTCCATCAGTAAGACGTTTTGGTTCATTTCTAGTCTGATTTTCGACCAGAACGCTTTGCCCATGTCTGTGGAGGTTCTAATTTTCTCTTGGATTATGAACCAAATTGTAAGGATGCCTATGCGTTGAAGTGAGCAGACCTGCGCAAAAATTTAATAATATTATTACCTAACTAGCTTTACGCCCGCGGCTTCGCCCGCGTGGAATTTTGTCTGTCACAGAAAAACAATATCGCACGCGTATTTGCTCACCGTTTAGACCTACCCTGGACTACGACAAACATTTTAAAACCAAAATCAGCTCAATCGGCTCAGCCGTTCTCGAGTTTTAATCAGACTAACGAAAATCAATTCATTTTTATTTATAAAATAATAGAAGATATAGAAGATGTAAAAACGAATTATTACTTTTAAACAAAACAGCCTCTCCAAATCATCTGGCCAGCGTGGGCACTTTCCACAATCTTCCATTTCATCACGTCATCCATTTCAGCGACATGACGTCCACTGCTGAACATAGGCCTCCCTCAAAGATTTCTACATCATTCTATTGGTTCGTTCGTTCGTTCGTTCGTTCGTTTCAGCCAAATGACGTCCACTGCTGGACAAAGGCCTCCTCCAAAGTTTTCCACAATGCACGGTCCTGCGCTGCCCGCATCCAGGCTCTTCCCGCGACCTTTACGAGATCGTCGGTCCACCTAGTAGGAGACTATTGGTAGTTAGTCTATTGGTAGATGAATAATAAATAAACATCTTTGGACCATTTACCAGAGGCAAACAGGAGAATGACCTAAAAAAGCTACCAACCGGGCAACATGGAAAGCATTGGGGAAGGCCTATGTTCAGCAGTGGACGTCTTATAAGGGAGAATTTGGCTTACACTCCCCTGACATTTTCCTCGTTAATCGCATTATTACTTACATAGTGTACTATGGGTCGCACTTCCAGCTACCTATTTCAGGTCATGTCGTCTCGTTCTATCACAAAGAATCGCCATTTGATGAGAACGAGAGAAAAAACGTAAATGGGTGGCTGGAACTGTGGTCCACTGTACATTTATTCAAATCTCACCTGTCCCAAGACCTTCCTCCTTCCATCGTGGCTGACGCCCTTGCCGTCAATCTCCAGCCCTACCACGCTGTCAGCCGAGTCGCCTTTTTGTATGTGATCCGCGCTACTAGTAAACGCACAAGCTTGCAGAGCGCATTGGGGAATCACCTGTGAATTTAAAATTAACCTCAATGTTAAAGGTGTTTTGGTCTATAATCCATTGCGAATATGTTTTACGCGTTAGGCCCGATTCGACCAAACTTTTATCCGAGATTAACTCCTGGTAAAGCCTGGTCCGTGAGCACGTAGAATTTTGTCCAGTGACCCCAAGCTACCCATCCTTATCGCTCGCGCGTAATTATATTGCTGTCGCGGCTGTGCGAGGGGCGCCCGCAGTGAGTGTGCGAGCGTTGAATGTATAACTGGCACATTGACAGTTTCAGTATGGAAAATATTATGTCAAAACTGACGATTTATTCTGAGATTAATATTTACTCTTGTTTGGTCAAATCCACCCTTAATCGTAGAGCTGATGGCCGCTAATGCAGAAAAGTTCTCGAGTGGCAACCACAGGCCGGAAGACGGGTGTGTAGTGTGGGCAGGCCTCCCATTATGTGGACCGACGATCTGGTAAAGGTCGCGGGAAGTACCTGGATGCGGGCGGCGCAGGACCGGTCGTTGTAGAAATCCTTGGGGGAGGCCTTTGTCCAGCAGTGGACGTCATTTGGCTGAAACAAAAGTTTTAAACTAATGAAAATACTTACTGAATCATAACCGACATGACTGTTTTGGAGATTCCACTCCCTGTCCAACTCGATCTGTGTCATTTCTTTCCTCTCAATTTCTACCAAATTGGTAGATTTTTTGGCGTTGGCAACATCGGGACACCACATCGGTCTCTCTGATAGATCCCAAAGGTGTATTGAGCTAAAAATTAAAATATATTGAAACCAGTACATTTTCGAATTCTTAACAAAATCTTTCTTCAGGTCAACTCAGTGAGTGTCTAAGGCATTGGTTCCCAAACTTATTTGAGACGCGCTCCCCCTCCTCCAGTCAAGATTATTGATATTGGTCGTATCGAACAGTCTGGAATGCATTTTCTCAGCGGTCGGTGATATTGACATAATATTATGACGTGACAGGGCATACAAATCTGAAGTCTCGCTAACGTCTCAAAATGCCTTGCCGCTCCCATTCCTCTGTGACAGAGTAAGTTAAGCCCCAGACCTATAGACAGTAGCGGTGTAAGGGGGGGGCGGTGGGGGCGGTCCGCTCCGGGTGCCAAGCATCAGGGGGTGACAAAAGTCGCGCAATGAGGGCTATCGTTTTTATACTTAACAGTTGGCACCCCTGGCGATTGACAGGACCTTACTCTACAGTGGCGCCATCTTGATGAGTGCAAATGCGATAGTCCTCCTACCACTTTCGCGCTCACCAGTTGGCGCCACTGTCTTCGCTACTAGCAAGTGACAGGACCTTACTCTACAGTGGCGCCAACTGGTGAGCGCTAAAACGATAGCCCTCATTAGTACTCACTGACGCATCTGCATGGCAAGGACGTTCGTGATTTCATGACGGGGGAGTGCCATTCTGGGATGCTTTAGGCTATAATTTATATTATGACTGGGGTGCCGCCCCGGGTGCCAACCACCTATGCTACGCCGCCACTGTCTATAGTTAAATATCCTTGGATTGAGTCTGAACTTCTTTATATTGCTTTCTTCGGAAACCAAAGAAACATATTTGCAAGAAACGTACCCATCTTCCAAAGCAGCGACAAATATACCATCCGTGTTCCCTTTAAATCTGCCTACACTTATATTGTCTATAGCTACGAGAACTTTCACTGGATCGCTCTTCAGTATGCTTATATCCCATAGACACACAACACATTTCTGCTCAAGTATATTGGGACATTTGCTATGTACAGTCAGTAATAAATTGCTTTTAGAGTCCGAAAATATTACGTCCGTAATCTTCATCATCTTCAAAAAGGAATTTTTCTCTTCGGTAATGTTTTTTGTAGACAAAGAAATGTAACCTTCGCTGAACGGATATTTTGTAGTCTTAACTAACTCAGTGCTGTTTGAATTACCAGTATTTTGGCTTAAAATATTACTTATCCTACTTTCCACTTTCTTGAGAAATTTACTCAATTTTCCACTGTTAAATTCTTTGTTTTTCAGTTTGTTTTTGTAACTTTCGTATGGAAACATTTCCGCGGAACCGGCGCCATCTTTTTGTTCGAAATACATTCTTAGCGGATTCGCTTTATAATTTTCATCCAAATTAATCGCATTGTTAATATCAACATCCATTGGATTATTTAACAAAATTGTAAACTTAGATAAATAATCTTCAGTACTATGACTGTATTTTCTAGTTTTATTACTTGTTTTCAAATAAATATCGTGTTTTGAAAATTCGACAGGATGTTGCGTCCATTTTTCTTCTATTAAAATCTCTTCAGTTTGCACCTCTTCAGTGATACCATCTTCGAACGTTTGAACTGCTGTCTGCACGTAGTTAGACCGTCCAAATGTTGCCATGTACAAATCGTAGGGGATCGGTTTCATTTCGAAGAGGGAGTATGACATTTCGTGCAGTGTTACCATGCTGAGAATATCTTTAGCGCGCTGTTTCAGTCTTTCAAATATTTTCCTTTTTCGTTTGTTCTCTTTTGCTTTTGTGAAGTCTATGAAAAGTGGCCTGAAAGTAAGCGAAAAGTAAAACTGTTAATTTATTGTTTATTGCACTAACGGCATGACAATTTTCAAGTAGTGATGTCAGGCTACAGCAGTCTCGATCGTCTTGCCCACTTCCGTGCTTGATCGTCTGAAACCTTTAGGTAAGGATACAAGTAACCTACTCCAGTGTTTGTTCGTTAAAAATGTGTTCCCGGTATTTCTTTTTAAAAGTGTACAATGTTTGCAGACGACGTAATGGCGGTGGCAAGTCATTCCAGCACTTGGAGGCGGCAAACCTGAAGCTACCCCGGAAGGCAACGGTTCGGTGCGGCGGAAGAACGAGAGTGCTGCTGGAGCGACGGGTCTTGTGCGAGTGGAATTCCCTTGTCCAAACTAATTTATCTTGTAGATAAGTCGTAGTGTTGTTTTTCATCATACCAAAAAGCAGTGTCGCGAAGTGCAACGCCCTGCGTGAGTTCATTTTTAATATTTTAGCATTAGTTAAATAAGGCTTAACGTGTGTTCTCGGCGGGATTGAAAAACAAAAACGGGCGCATGCATTTTGCACATTTTGCAAAATATCATCTGCATACCTCTCAAACACTTCAGTGTGAACAGTCTTGATGCTGGACCCCGAACTCATCTCCTGGAAGCCCTCATCAGTGAGGGAGCTTCGGACGTCCAGCTCCGAATCTTCGAGGATGTCCTGCATGACCGTGGGTTTGCCTTTGTTGGCCGATCGGGCGTCGCGGAGGTCGAAGTTACCTGGAAAAATGCAAATAGGCTTTCAAAAAGTGCTTTTACACGTCGCAGTATTGCTTTAACGTTATCACTGCTTCGGGACAGTAAATGGGTCAGTGCTGAGAAGAAGCAGCACAAGAAACTCAGTCGCCATTGGTTATGTTATTTTGTACTCACCACTTGGCACCAATGGACTGTGATTTTTGATGATGAAGAGCTTTACGAGGTTCGTATTATAGTTACAAAACCTCTATCAAAAAAGTCCACTGACCCAAATTAGTTACAAATAGATATATACGCGACTTTATTATTTATGCTAAAGCCCGGTCTGTGAGCACGTAGAATTTTGTCCAATGACCCCAAGCTACCCATCCTTATCGCTCGCGCTTAATATTGCTGTTGCGACTGTGCGACGGGAGCCCGCAGTGAGTGTGCGAGCGCGACAAGAATATAATTGCGCGCGAGCGATAAGGACGGGTAGCTTGGGGTCATTGGACTAAATTCTACGTGATCACAGACCAGACTAAACCAGACTAACAAATATTTTTCGAGTTACTAACTAACCTGAATCTAGCATTTTTTCCTCGTCCCTTCCTTCTTTAATCCCCGTGTCTTCTTCGCTCTGTTCCCCACGATTCTTCATTTCATATTCTCCATCATCACCTTCCACCAATACAGCCTTATTCCTATCAGCATTCGGTTCATTTTCCACCTCCCCCGTACTAAGATCTTCGGTATCATGCTCTGTGTTGTCCGAAGGCGATTCGTGGTCCGATTCGAAGTCAGATTCATAACTTTCGAAGTCGTCTTCGTAATCTACTTCGTCTTCGCTCTCTTTGGGTTCTTTGGGTTTCTCGATTTGATATGCCTTTAAAAAAGGGATAAATTAGTATTATGAAGTGACACATACCTGATCTGATGTCTCGCTGACGTTTGGACGTCACAAAATGCGTTTGGACGTCACAAAATAAATTTTATAAAATCCGATTTGTATGAAAATAAAAATAATTAAAATGAAGATATCAATTTTCTGACTTCACCATACCATTTATATGCCCATGTTAACATGGGCTAGTGTCGGCTCATATACCCATTTACCTAACACCCTGTATAGAAGAAGATAGACGTTTCACTAAGTATTTTTCAACCGACTTCAAAAAAGGAGGAGGTTCTCAATTCGACCCGTATGTTTTTTTTTTTCTATGTTTGTTACGCGATAACTCCGCCAATTATGAACCGATTTGAACAAATCTTTTTTCTGCATATAGGTAATACCTCAAGGGTGGTCCCATTTAAATTTAATAATAGAAAAAACAACCCCCAGGGGTGGAAAATTGGGGATGAACTTTTTTATACGCAATATCTCCGCCGATTATAAATCACCTAGCAGTGCCCGCGACTTCGTCCGCGTGGACTAATGACTTTGGGTAGGCACTTTTAATAATTTAGTCTAATTATTTTACAAAGGCCTATGTTCAGCAGTGGACGTCCTATGGCTGAAATGATGATGATGATGATGATGATTTTACAAATAACTTTTGCCCGCGACTTCGTCCGTGTAGAAGTCGAAAAAGTTCTCATAGGATTTTTAAATGGTTTTTAACGTTATTATCTAAATGTTTGAATACTATTTGATCGTTTAAACACAGTGAATGATTCAATTACATAAAATTTTAATGATACTTTTCACGGCTTCGCTCTCATGAATGTTAACGACCGTCAAAAGCACGTCGATAGATGGCGGTCACTAATTTAGACTTTGATTTGCTCGTTTTAACACAGTGAATTATTCAATTACATAAAATATCTATAATGACTAAATTTTAAATATTATGAACAGTTCTATAAATGTAATATTTAGTTCCTAATTAGGACTAATGATACGTTTCACGGCTTCGCTCTCATGAATGTTTACGACCGCAAAAGCACGTCGATAGATGGCGTTTTTAAGGATATTTCTCACCTCTTAACTATTTATTGAAATTTAGTTTGTCACATATCGTCATAAATTGTAGCCTATATATTAGCCTGGGTTATAAATAATAATACTGTAAAGTTTCAACAAAATCCGTTTATTAGTTTTTGCGTGAAAGAGGAACAAACATCCAGACATCCAGACAAAAAGGTTACAGTGAGCCAACCATAAAAGATAGACATATGCTGTAGCGGACTTTTTTGTAGAACTTTTAAAGGGGAAAATCCTATCATACATAATTTATGCGAAACTTTAACCGTTTACGCAGCGTCAGCTCTCAAAAGGAAAAAAATCACTGATTTGAAACATTCTTCATTGGTGCTCCGCTCCTAGTGGTCTTAGCGTGATGATATATAGCCTAAAGCCTTCAGGGATTAACGGACTATCCAACACAAAAAGAATTTTTCAAATTGGTCCAGTAGTTCCTGAGATTAGCGCGTTCAACCAAATAAACAAACTGTGATTAATAAATTGCGCCACTACAAACCGTACCAACAGATGGCGCTGTTACGATCTTACTATGGCAAACTCCACCGCGCATACAATCCTGCATCGCGGTGACGAAGTTTTTTACCCTGCCCAGTATATATAGACAAACCAAGATTGTGTAAATTAAATGCTTTAACTCCTTATGGTGGTTGAGCGTCATGTTCCACTACTTCAGCTTTATAATATTAGTATAGAAGTATAGATATAGAAGTATAGATATAGATTTGAACGATTATTTTTTGTTGAATAGGTATTATCAAAAGGGTGGTTTCATGCGAATTTGAAGAAAATATTTCACCCCCAAGGGTGGAAAATTGGGGATGAACTTTTTTATACCCAATATTTTCAATTTTTAGTTTTTTTTTGCATTCACGCATTTGAAGTCGGTTTTATTTTTTTTTAAAGTTAATTATTATGCATAACAAGGTGGGTATTTGACCACAATCGCAATATAGAAAATTATGTAGGTTTTTTAAGTTACCTTAGGTTTATCCCCTTCCAAGTCCACAAAGAACGCCTTCGGCTTTGCAGCGAGCTTCTTCGAAAGGTTCATCATTTCTGCATTATTGTCCACCGATTCAGGAGTCAGCACCTTTACTTCACTATCATTCAACGTCCGTGTCTTAGTTCTTTGCCGTGCAACCTCTTTGGTGTCTTCATTTTTTATTTTTTCTGCATCCTCTACCTTTTTTCTTTCTTTTTTTTCTTCAAGGTGTCTTTTTTCTTTTGTTTTTTCTACATTTCTTCTGTCTTTTGTTTCTGTTGCTATCCTATCATCGTTATTTAGTTTTTTCTTAGCAATCGGCGAGTTTACAGTCACGTTAACAAATGGTAAATCTCTAGCAGTTCTCGGCGTTGCATGCCTTGATGCACTGGATACTTTTTGGTCAGTTTTTACTAGAGAAGTACTACTTCTTTTCGCGCTAATCTGACTTATAGAAGAAGAAGAAGATTTTAACTGGTCTCTCATTGGAGACACATTGCTTGTAGTAGTAGAACCTGCTTTTTTAGGCGCTTTGACTAATTGCGCGCTGTTTTTCTTCTTTTGAGCGTAAATGTCGGCCGTTGAAGATTTTTGTATGTAATTCCGAGGCGTAGAAACGCTATAGACGCTTTTCTTCAGTTTTTCTTCTTGAGGTTTCTTTGATAATGGAGTAATATCGTCTTTGGAGGTTTTATCTTTGGGCTTCGGTTTGCTGTCTGTTTTGCGCAGCGTAGTCTGCATTTTAAGAGAAAGCTGAAAAATAAAATACGTAGGTAATGTAAATGACCTTAGATTAGTTGGACCGACGACTTATCTAGCTTGCCCTTTGAAGCAGAACTCTTATTTCAGTTTAGACAAACACATTGATTAAACATTATGCTTGTAATTAAGTATAGAAGTTTAAGAACCATTGCTCTAACGAGTTTTACATGCATGTAATACAAGAACGTAGGAGTACCTACATATTCGTCTTGTTATTGATTGAACATTCGTGCTTTCATTCGATCAAATCGTTAACAAATTAATTTACCTAATGCTTCATAACACTTGGTCATGTAAACATTTTAAATACGTTGATATTTTTTGAATAAACGCTCAGCGACATGTAGCTTACTTACGCCCGTATTCACAAACATTACTATGAGGTCTCACAGAGCGCGTGGACGCACATGGTGACACATGAACCAATCACAAAGCTCTATTCAACGCTGCTGTGCGTTCGATTTGCTGCTTCACTTAACCAAGCATAGTTTGTGAATAGGTACGGGCGTTAGTTAGCAGGATATAAATTACTCGTCGTAATATCGGGCTTCGTGATCGTCCAATAACAGTTTGACTTTCCCCCGGGACAAACTGAACCTTCACTGGTTGGTTTATTGGCGGTCAAGCTGTAGATCCTGGCTACACAGGAGTTGCAGCGGTAGGAACGAGAGGTGGGAATAATCCCGTAAACCCTTAAGAAGGAACTGAAGGTACCGTGTTATATGAACGCTTGACCCTGTATAAAACGTAACAGCCACTCACAGATAGTAAAAACGAAGTAGAGTCATAACAACAACACAACATTTAAGTATTTAAGAACGATCAATAAGTCATTAGTGGACTTAGTAGTCACCTGAGTCATAATTATCTAGGTTCTAAAAACACTGAAATACTAAGTAGGGGAAAGTAGTACGAGTTGATCCCCTGGGGTAAGATGATCCTTTGCGATTGTGCTGAAACCACTAACGTTATTTAGTTTCTTTCACTGGTAAAACATAGCTCTGGACACCTCCCCGCCTCAGTCAAATCGTACTTAATGGTGGCGTGAGCGATACATCGAATTTGACAAGAAAAAAGATAAATTGTGTACTTTTCATCTAAAATAGGCATGACTTTGAGCTTATGTTACTTTTATTCAAACAATGTTAAATGTAATTACTGTTGTCTTTAGGCTTTCTATTATGTTTTATTTTAATATTTTGGCCATAAAAACNCGCATCTCTCTCACCAGATGCTGTGCATCGTCACATGCCGAATAATACAAGATTGCCGTTAAACCGAACACCAGCAACCAATCACAGCGTTCTATTCGGTTAACGTCAGTCGTGCTCCGGCCATTGGGGAGGTGAGATAGGTCGATCGTCGCTCCGCGAAAAAAATACGTAACTTTTTGTGATTATCCATAGACATGCCGTCGCTTGCTTGAACAATATTTTCTACCTCTAAAATTTAACCAATTTAATTGAAACTTAGGCCATTGAAAACTTAACATGTTAGACTTATTTGTGTAGTATTCGACTTGAACCGTTAAATTCAAATTTAAGGATAATTCATAAAAAACAAAAATTTTCGTCACCTTCGTGGCATCACCTTCGTGGTGTTTTATACACGAAGGTGATTTTAGGCCACGAAAGTGATTTCTTGCTTTGGTTTATTTTAAAATATAGTGACTGGTGTTTATGTTTTTACAATATTTTAACAATTAATAAATTATACGTGGTAAGTAGAGTTCACGTACACAGTACATCAATAAAAAAAATAAGGGCGGCCTCGTATTTTTGTTGTCTGTCTCTCTGTATGACTGTATGTATGTCTGTATATGTGACTGTGTAGGTATCTGTTTGTAAGATCAATTTAATCTGAAGTTTGAGTTAAAAGTTGTACATTAAAAATACGAGGCCCTCTGGCCTCAATAAAAATATATATTTTTGTTGAGGGACTGATAATCCTTTTTTTGCTTCTTCAGCATTTCAGAATGCCACCAGTGTCACCCTTAAAACCAATTGCGTAGAATCTTGTAACTTTGTAGGTGACGTTATCGGTAAAATTTTATCTGCACTCTGTATTAATTTTAACTGTGGAAACTTTGCTGATTTCTGTCCTATTTTTTTGTGTGATTATTTGTCTGTATATCAAAATTGTTTGTTTCCCTAATATAAATAAATAAAATAAAATAAAAATAAAATCTTGTTTTTAAGTAGGTACCTATTTATAGTATGTTATTGCTATTTATCTATGAAAATAAGACTAAATATATGTTTTATAAACACTTAAGAGTCATTTACAGTAGTAAAGTTTGAAAAAATTATTGCTGTGACGTACAGAATCACTTTCGTGGCATCAAAAAATTCAAAACGTTAAAGCTTCCAAAAGAGACTCACTATTTGACTGATTTACTGAGAATACAATCTTTACATCAAGCGCTACAATTTTTGTTTACAAAAAGTTGAAATAAGTTAGAAATAAAATTTGCCACGAAGGTGACGATGAGAACCATAGCGATGAGAAATACCCTTGTATCAGCATTGGCTACTGGCAGTATATCAAGGGGTTCGCGTATCGATGGCTCCTACGTATACTGGCGTAAGTGAAAAAAGTAAATTTTACAGGAGAGCCATTTTAGTGGCCAGAACCATATTTTTGGGTCATATCTTCTGACCTACTAAAACGAATTTAATGAAATTTCACATTTAGCCTTAACATGTAATGCTTTTGCTACTGCTATTATAAATTTTTATATTTTTCTTATAACTATATTTTGAGATTTTACGCATTGCCCTTTTACGTCGTCACATTTCTATAATTTCATGTATAGATATTGTTCAACGTAAAGAGACTTAAATGACAACGTAAATATAATATTTTAAGCGATTACTCTCTTTATTTATGCATGTAATTATTTTAATTGTTATCATGTGCTATATCAATAATAAATCAGTTAGAAAAAGTTGTTTAATGTATCGTTATTACGTTTTAACGCAAATACGCCCATATACTGTGCTCGAGATTTAGTTAGGTCTTTTAACATAATATGTCATATTTTTAAAAATTATAAATAACTTGAAAAAATCTAACTGCCTAAGGCGGGAATTGAACCCACGATGCCTTAGGCAGTTACATTTTTTCAAGTTATTTATAATTTTCAAATTAGTTTGAGATGCAACTCTTAACGCTAAAAATTAAATAACTACANTCTGGTTTTGAGTATAAGGAAAGTTAGATAGATAAATATACTAGTATTAATCGTATTTATTTTTGGTTTACCTCGAAAAATATGTATTTTACAGCGATTCCCGCTTAAGGGGATCATCTCGTACTACTTTCCCCTAGTTACTACACTCGACAGCAAATAAATCACACCACCCACGACGCGAACTTTAAAGATTTTCTTTTGACACAATAATGGTGCCCCAACAATATTGGTGTTATTTGAAAGCCCAATAAATATCCTTAAAGAAAAACACATTTAATTTCTTAATAAATGATTAACATATAGGCCATAAATGTGACTTGAAAAAAGACCTCACTTTGGGCTCACCTCTGAGATCAATTATCTACACCAAATTTTATGGTTATAAAACCAAATATGTAATGATCACACGTGTCCTCTTTAACAGATGGATAGCGATTAATCCCAACTTAACAGTTTTATAGCCATAAAAGTTGGCTCAAGCGTAACTATCTATTTTTTGAAGAAGTGACTCTGGATCCTTCTAAAGAAACATTTTTGGGGTAAAAACCTTTCCTATAATGAAATGAAGTTTAGAACTAGGCTTTTGAATGGTACCAATATTGGTGTGAAGTGGGGATGCATACGTTTGATAGTGCTTGTCGCGGGTGGTGCGATTTATTTGCTGTCGAGTGTAGTTATGTAAAAAGTACGGTAGTTAGGTGTGGTCGTAGTAAGTAAAAAACATACATACAGCCGAACATATAACCTCCTTTTTTGAAGTCTGTTAAAAAGTAAACTACAACAAAATAAGTATTTTTTATTTGCGGCGTAAGAGTCACTGGGATGGGAACCACTAGACAGAATTATGTTTACGATCCATCCCCGTGGACTCTCTCTAGCTAGTCTCTATTGGTTGTGGTTCGAGACTTTTACGTTAAGTACGAAAGTAGGTAGAATTTGAAAAGACCCAGAGGTCCCGAGTTCCGAGTCCCAGACTCCCAGTGGGGGTAAAAAAGATTAAATCAGTGCATCAGATGGACAAGGCGAAAGCATACGCCATACAACAAATGTTCAGTATAGGATTCAAATTGATGATATTATCATTATTACTGAGCTTTTTTTAGGATAGCTGCCAAAGCCACGATGACCCAAACTTCATGTTTCACCAACATTCTATCCGATATTGGGAGCATACGCTGACAAACTTTCAGCTTTTATAAAATGACGTAGGTCTGGTGTTCACCAGCTCTTAGTCTTAGATATTGATGACTCTTTTGCTTGAGTTTCAGCAAAGATTATGGCACTTTAAGTATACCTACTGAAACCTCACGCGTAGGTACCTCTGGAATAGGTAGCATTGGCGTAATGGTTATTTTTCTGGGGGTAGCTGGGACCCTCGCCCTGGCAGCGGGGGGATTAGGGTCATAGGGTATAAAGTATGAAGATTTACTATGTCTATCATTTTCTGGGGGACAATGGACCATACTGGACCATTCTAGGGTGGGTACGGCCCACCCGGCCCCCGCTATAGGTATACGCGCAGTTAAGGCTGGTTTTAGTGTCACGCGGAACGTCCGGTGCGGACCCGCTCCGCACGGCCAATCTGTATAAACTTCTAGGGAGCGTTTTAGAGTAATGCGGTCCGGAGGAACCGCTCTCGCTCCCTAGCAGTTCATACAGATCGGCTGTGCGGAGCGATCCGCACTGACAGCCCGCGTGACACTAAAACCAGCCTAATCGGTGTAGGTAGGCAAAAAAAGTTATTTACCTACGTAAACAATAAAGTTAATTATTGTTAAATGCAATTTTTAAGATAAAAGCGAAAAAGATAAGAACGTAAGACTTACCTCGATACAAACTTTGTTATGAAATTCTTAACACATACTTTCAGACGTTCCCCTTTGCACAACGAAAAATTATTAGTTATTCATAATTTTCCCACACCTTGACACACTTTTCAGTGGGTCACTTCATCACTTATTTTTAATCAGTAGAAAATGTATCACAAATTGCTAAAACTAAATTTGCACTTATTTTTACTATGTTTCATAGAAAAACAGTAATAATTTGGTAATAAAACTATTTTTTAAATACCTATTACGTGCGTTCTTTCTTTGCTTTCGCGTGACAAACTATTGTATACTAACCCGTTGCTATGGTTACCGTTTTGTCATTTCCAGTGTTTACGTCATTTCCATGGTTTTCGTTTTGTGTTGGTAAAATGGTAATTTTTAAGTTTGTTATGTTGGCACTACGAACAGGGTAGATTGAACGAATACCGCTCTTTTGGTGGTAAAAAAGTTGTCCTAATTTTCTAACATGAAACCATGTTAACCAACCTACTATTCACAATAACTCTTGTGAATTCAGTCATATTAAAATTTCAATGATTTTTTTAAATGAAAAGCAGGCTGGCTTTCATTTTATTTGCTAATTTATAAGTTTTTTATTTCAAACCTTTCAAAAACAAAGCAAGTGTTGTCAAAAACAAACGTGGTTCCGTCCATAATTTATAAACTGTAGAAAAAGCGTTAATAAATGTAGTAACGACAACGCATTAAAAGTCCAAAAAATAACAACGTACCTAATCCAATCCAAGACTTCCAGACTAGGAAGACGAGCTCTCTATGAGAGAAACGCGTCATTGAATGAACTGACAAAAAGATAAAAAAACGTTATCATGTATCGACGTCATTTTAGAAGGCGTATCTCATTGTGAGTCAATAAACTATCAACATTACAAAAAAAATGCTGTATTAAACTTCCTTTTTTAAAAATTGGATAATCAAATACGCCTATGTAATGTAACGGTAGCGACGAAACGAAGGACAATCCAATTTAAAACTCTCTACGTAACCCTGAAATGAGGTGATAGCTAAAAATAGATCGGCAAATACGTCAGATTCACGGTTACTTTGCCTCCAAGACTGCTCAGAGGGCTTAGTGTGAGTTTACATTACTAGTGAGCGCGTAAAAAATGACATTAAATGTATGACGGATTGTACAGCGCCCCTAGCGGAAACTTTCAAGAGTTAATATTTTCATAATTTTTTTTACGCGCTCACTAGTGAGGACGTTTGATATAAACTTACTTACACTAAGCCCTGTGAGTGACCCGTAAAAAGTAGGGTGGATTAGGTACTTCAATATTAGCCTTTGACCGCGGCTTCGCCCACTGAATTTCAGTTCGTCACAAAAAACGATTATTACCTTTAAGAAGAACTTTATTCCGTACCTGCGACTTCGTTCATACTACCACAAATTAGATAATAGTAGCATACTACGCGTGAAAATCGTGTGAATATTTTTTCCCATTTTTACAAAAATTTTCATCGATGCTCTGCTCCTATTGGTTGTATCAGATAAATGGGCTTTCAGCACATTTTTTTTTCAAATCCGACGAGATTTTTCCAATACTATTACCAGACTAGAAATAGCAGTTTTTACATTTAGTTTTGAAAAACAAAAAAGCATCGCGGTCTTTCTACTCCATTATTTTGCGGTATAATTTGGAAAATAACAAGAATACATGAGTTTTATCAGCAATAATTTTATTTTAAATATGTTAAGTAAATATAAGTAGTTAAGTGCTTGAACTTGTGACTCAAAGTGAAAAATAACTTACTCTCAATAAAATAAAATCTATACGAAACTTAAAAAAACTGAAAAATAAAACAACAGTTCAGGTAGTCACATTAAGGGAGTGTACTTGCTTCTATTATTATTACTTAACACGATAAAAATAATACAATACACACGCACAGCGGTCAATAAATACAATCGAGTCGTGCATCTCTCGCAGCATCTAACTTGCTACTGAACGAAAATCGTGGGTAGTTTAAATTTACATGATTATTTTCATAAATGGAACGCTTCCGGCCTCTGAATTTGAATCTCTCGTACTGGTAACTAGCCGGAAGTGTCGTCATCACTAATCTACAAGCCGGCGACGATGGATGCCGGTTCCTCGACCCCTTGCTTGATTTTCCTAAGGAACATGACAGCTTCGCGGCCGTCGATTAACCTGTGGTCGTACGTCAAAGCGATGTACATCATTGGCCGAATGACCACTTGTCCGTTCAAAGCGATGGGACGCTCGAAGATTCCGTGCATACCCAAGATAGCAGACTGGGGTGGATTAATGATAGGCGTGCCCATCAGCGATCCGAAAACACCACCGTTGCTGATCGTGAATGTACCCCCGTCCATCTCTTCAATAGTCAGTTTCCCCGTCCTAGCCTTCTCTGCTAAACCAGCAATGGTCAGCTCAATGTCAGCATACGTCATATTCTGCACATTCCTGATAACTGGCACAACTAAGCCCTTAGGCGTTGCCACAGCGACCGAAATGTCGACGTAATCTCTGTAATTGATCTCGTTTTCTTCAATCACAGCGTTCACTACGGGCTGGTCCATCAAGGCGGAGGCTGCTGCCTTCACAAACGGCGACATAAGCCCTAATTTGATACCATGCTTCTTGGTGAAAGCATCCAAGTTCTTCTTACGGAAGGCCATGATATGCGACATGTCGATTTCGTTGAACGTCGTCAGCATGGCGTTGGTGTTTTGCGCGTCTTTGAGGCGTTGAGCGATGCGTTGCCGCATGCGGTTCATTTTCACGCGCTGCTCGGTTCTTGTGCCGGCGATTTCTTTGCTGTAATCCGTTGGGGGGACTTTGACGGTGGCGGTTTCGATGGCCTGAGCGTGGCGGATGGCTGCGACGGGGATGGAAGATATGGGAGCCGCCGCGGGGGGTGTGGCGGCTCTGGGGGGTGGGGGAGGGGGTGGAGCCGCGGCTTGAGGGGGTGGGGGAGGGGCAGCGGCTTGGGGCGGCGGAGGGGCAGCCGCTGCAGGTGGAGGCGGCGGTGGAGCGGCCTTAGGGGCTTCAGGCGCTGGCGCAGCCGCGGCCTTTGCCGGCGCTTCACCTGTAATATCCATTCTGAACAACTTCTGACCGGCTTTAACTGTGTCCCCATCTTTAACATACAACTCCTTGATCACACCGTGTCCGGGCGCCATTACAGGTATGGCGGTCTTGTCGGTTTCGATTTCTAGGACTACCTCGTCAGCCGCTACGCTGTCTCCGACCTTCTTGTCCAACTTCACGTCTCCTTCCGAGACGGAGTCAGGGAAACTCGGGGTCATGACGTCCTGTTCCGCAAAGACTGGGCTGGTGAAGTGGATTGAGGCGATCTGGTTGTGGGAGACGAGAACCCTGGCCGTTTTGCTGGTGATCTTGGCCTGGGGAAGCAGGACTTTGGGCGCCTGCGTGGACCCCAGCCGGAGGCTTTGCCCCTGCCGCCGGTACAGGGCCTGGAGGTGCTTTGAGCAGCGCCGAAGCATCTTGAGTATTTAGTGGAGATTTCGGGTTACCCTGCAATTGATAGAAAAGGAATTGGTTAATCTATGTGTCAAAAATGTAGGCTGAGTTGCACCATCTCACTTTAATAGTAAGTACATAACCTAAACCACCAGTGTTTTTTGTACGGAGGTTTTTTTTTTAAACTGGTTTTACAAAGTTACATACATAAAATAAACTTAACTTAGTTGGCATTAATAATGTAAAACCTCCTAGATGCAAACACCGCATGCATATAATAATATTGTGTAAACAGAAAATGTTAGTTTTTGACAGATTTTTGCTAGAGTGAAAGTAAAGATAATGCAATCCAGCCCGAAACTGTAATAAATGTATAACTGGTAACATTTAATATTTTTTAAACCTCTCTTTTTTTTAAATACATATAGCTCAAATTATTAAGTACTAAATGAACACTAAACAATAGTGCTACCTGAACAATAACTCAAAACAAATGAACTAAGGCGAATTAACAAAAGAAAGATATAACATCAGCAGTAAAGTCCCTGTCCAACTAATAAATATATTTTAGTATCGCTAGTTTAGTTATTATTATCATTAAAATTCATTCAGTTAAAAAATTGACATATTTTATTATTTTATTAGGCAATATATTTTGAAACATTACTTTATCTTGAAGTTCAAAAAGAAAAGTATTGTTCTTTCAATGGCTTATAATAAATAATTATTAACCACAACTAATACTTCTATAGAGATTAGTTTCAGCGTGCTTAGAAAATAAAAAGATTTAGATTATTTCTCTGTCGGCAGTATTAATCAAAACCAATAGATTTTTGTAAGTGCAAATTAATAAGGCCTTATCTACTCAACAGAGTTCACTGTGTGAGGGTAAATCAAAGATGAATGATGAAGATGAAGCTTGAATTCTTGAAAATTTGTCAAGATCCTAGTTCTAGTTTTCTCTAGTAACTTCCAAGTCTCAATAAGTATTTATGAAAGTATGAAAACTGTACATTTACCTACTAAATCTTGTATTGCAAATCTATTATATCACTCTTTTGCACAAATTTAAATATTAATCAAGTATTATATTCATTCATGAAGTAGAGATTTATCATACAAAATGGCCAGAATTAACATAAATTAACAAGGAATAATAATAAAAATTGTGGCTGCAAACATTTTGGTATTCGATTTTTTTGTAGTCGACCTCAATAGAGGAATTGAGATGGACTGGCCATATTTTAGAAAACGAAAATCATTCATGGAACACTGACCAGTGACAGCTCTAGCATATTGACAGAAGTGATCATGATGAAATCTTCAAATAAAATCACTTTTTACCGATATAATTTAGGTCGTCGTTAGTGAAAGGTGTTAAAGGAAAGGTTAGTGATAAAAAGGTGCACTTATAACCAGCCGGTGCACGCCTAATAAGCAGCCGAATTCAAGGTTAGTGGATTACACTTTTACACAGAACGAAAACAAAGTTAGCACAAAGATAAAAACCCCTTACCTCCTGGAGTAGGTAAACAACCGCTATCAGTGAACAAAACAGATATTTTCACGGACAAAAAGGTTACATAAGTCTGGGTCTCATGACAGCTTTTAACCACGAATGTTAATTTGATCTCGTTTCAAAGCGTTACCAATGCATAGCTGTATTACACAGTGCCGTAAATTAAAGGGCTAATACTTCACTTTGTTTTTGACGCTGCTTTTCTCTAATTACAGGTGGTGTGGCCCAAAGACCTACATTTATTTCGATTCGCCTTTTTCTTTGGCT